TTTAATCTGAAGTACTGTAGTCCATGTTTTGAAGGTTCAAAGCAATATTTGAAACTTAAATTTTCTATGGCAGCTAAAGGCAGAGAATGTTTTAGGCTTTGATGGCAAAGAATAGCAGAAGGGAATTAGTTACTCCTGTCCTGTAATGAGATTTTTTTTTTTTCCATTATCAGTGCTATCTAAAATCCATGTAGACCATTCCTACAGTGTTATCGATTGCAAGTTCATGAGTAAATGAATCCCACTGAACATAATTAGTAATAGACAATAATGTTGTTTGACCTAGTTAAGAAATATGCTAATAGATTTTGGTTTTTCCTTAAGGATCTATGGTGTATCTTCTTATTAAACACAGTCAAGCTCTTTCCTCTTTTACCAGTCCTATTTCTTTTTCTGTGTCTTTGTAACTAACTTACATAGCAGGTAAAACCATAAACATTGTCAGATGCTGAAATGCTGGGGTTTGAACCCCAAGCCCCCGAATTAAGGCTGACATATGGGTGATTCCCACAGCCCTTCATAAAGAGGAGGTGAGTTTGCCTTATAGCTTCCCCCCAGGGTGCAGCCAGCCCTGCAGGGAGAGCCATAAGGGAAATGAGCCCCAGGGGTCCTGCATTGAGTTGACAAAGGTCAGGTGTCTGCTTGGGGATAAAAGCTGGGACCACTTGCAGGGACTCAGGAGTGTCCGTCTGTGGAGTGCACTCCACAGAGCTTCCTGGTTCAGGGAAGACCTCCTGACTCTCCCTGGAGCTGGGCCCTGGTCTGTTTAGGCCTTTGCGAATGTGGGCTGATCAGGTGAGAGTCGCCATGTGGGCACCATTCTCTTATGTATTTAACTTACTGGTCTGGCTGTTTCCCATGCCAACTATGGGCAACCTCGGGTCACTGTTTGTACCACCTGTTGTGGGCCGGGTCATGTCATTTGTGGGATCATTGGGGGTGGCGTCGATCACGTATGAGCTGGTTGACCTGTTTGTACCCCCGGCGGTCATTCATATGGTAACATTTCTGTCTACAATACAGTCTGCATATTGGTTCATCTCCCTGCTGGTGCTATCATTTTTGTTGGGCCTGGTCATTGGCAAAACAGATGCAAGGCAAGAGTTGTTCATTTGAAGCTCTAGTGCTGTCATGAATCAGAGTCCTCGGCAAGTTCACAGATGAAAGTAAATCCTAGTCATTTATTCTGCCTTTTGAACACACTGACATTTCAGCAAAATGTAAGATACTTGTAATCCTCTCATGGCAGTGTTTAGAAGTGCTTCAGTTTGACATTTTTCCTGTGGTTTTTTTTTTTTTTTTTAGAGATTTAATACCAGCTGAAGAGTTGGTACGCGTGGACACAGAGATTAGTAACGTGTACAACTGTAGGATAGCCTTAACTCTGCTTTGCTGCTGGAAGAGTAAAAAGACAAATGCTGCCCTTGCATTGACTCTCCTCTTAGTGCTGGTGTGAGCACATGTGCAGTCATGTGGCAACCAAATTGGACAACTAATTGTGTCAGAATTAACCTGGGGAAAAAAAATAATAGGTGTGTTGCTTTTCCAGTTCAGTTTCTTACACAGCTGCATGCTTGTTTGCTTGCACAGGAGGAGACTGGTAGAGGGAAGGAGATAGCTGGCCTGGAGGGATGGCATCCTTTGACACTTCTGCAGCTTATGCCACCTGAAGGGGCCTATGTGAAACTATAGCCAAGGAGTGGGGTCCTTGGCATTGCAGGATGATGTAAAGCTGACCTGGTACCACATTTCTCTGGCTTCATGGTTGTGCCCTCTGCCTTGCACTGAAATTTCAGCAACACTTCTGGGAGCTGATTGCAGTCCAGTCACATTTTTTTTTTCTTGCCAGGGTTCAGTTTTTCTCTAGTTTACTCGTTTTGAGTTGATTTCTGATGTTGTCACGTGAGCCTAGGGGGAGGCTTCTCCTGCGGTATGCCTGGGTTTCGATCAGGCTGAACAGCCTTGGGGTTTCATCCTTACTGAGAGAAGCTGTTTTGTGGTTTTGAAATTGAATATGTTAAGATGGTCTCCTACTGAGGATTAGTGTACTAAAGCCAAGTAAAGATAGTACTTTGAAGGTGATCAGCTCTCAATGTTTTTCCAATTCTTAAATGACAAGAGCTTTTTAAGGTGGTCTTCTGAAAACGAGAGGCAGAAATGTGTTATGTAAACACACTAATAAAGGCCTATCTGCATAGAGCAAATGTGGATGTAGTTCTGGGTTAAGGAGCACTTTAGTCCTTCCCGGTGTCTCGAGAGAGACAAGAGCTGGTTCGATACCAGCTTTTCATAGTTCAGAGGACTGGACCAGAGCTATGTGGCATCTTCTCTGAAGTCCCTAGTCCTTATAATGTGGGGATTGTGGCATACAACAGTATCTAAGCCTAGAATGATCCAAACTGCTGCTTTGCTAAATTTCTTCTGACCAGACACAGGTAATGAATTTCAAAAGGAGATTTAAACTTCTCTCCTTTCTTTCCAGTCTGTTGGCTTCAATATGTGATTGAAAATAAAAGAGTCCAGTTTGGCTCTTGAGTAGAAAAAAGCTTTAGCTTTCTTAGAAACTCTCATGTTTAGGATAGAAGCAGGCATTTACTTAGAAATTTGTGGTATGTTAGGAGTCCTTAGGTACTTGATAGTTTTTGTGTTTGTTTGTCAGTAGATGGAGATGAAAGGAGAGTTGTTCACACTGTGTATTGCAGTATTTGTTTTGTCAGTCTCATACTTGGGGTTTCTGTTACCTGCTGTGGCTAGGAAGGATATATTCTTTCCTTTCAATCCTTCTCTCATCAAACCTCTGTGATCTTGTTCTTGACACATAATGCATCTCTCTCATTTTCTGGGCTGGCTTTGGAAACATCAGGGCTTAAGAGTGACAAGAGCACAGATGCCAGAGAATGTGGACATTGTAAAGTAGCTAGAAGATTTTTAAATCCCCTGACACGTTTATGCTCCTGTACTGAGAGGCAAGCCAATAATCAGAGAATGGGTTAAGAAATACATTTTTTTTTAAATTCAGATGGTTTGGGTTGTCATCTTTCTTTGCAGTGCATGCTTTGTTCTGCTTCTCAATGCCTTTGTATACTTTCTTCTAGTGAACTTCCAGTGTAGGGATCTAGAACATGGCAGTGTCTTTGATCTCCCGTTGTCTGCTCTGTGTGGCACATACTGTGCTGTGTTTTTTAGGACCTGTGTTACTGAGATCAAAGTGCTAGATCAAAGCGTTAGAGGACGTTCAACAATGGTTTGTGGCATGCGGTCTGTGTGCATGTCGTTCTGGTATTGCCCCTGGTTACAGGGAACTCAGCTCTGTGACCTTGGCAAGTCCTTCCAGCCTCAAAGATGTCATGCTGCAATTTATGTACAGGAAAAGATACCCATTGCTCCAACTGAACAGCATGTTTGTACAAAAAAAAGCTCCGGGGGACAGTGGGGAGGTGGGGTGGAAAACCACAGGTTTTTGTACTCACAACCTCATGGCTCTTTTGGTTAGAGGCTAAGGCAGTTTTGTGACCTTCCTGTTTTCACTCCTGAATTGCTCACATCACTAATGAGTTTGATAAATTATTCCTTTCAATGGAAGCTCAGGAAACCTGTTATGTAAAACATAACTTTCTGAACTGATAGAAGAAATTGTGAATGGCTGCGACTCAAACTTGGGAAGGTGTGAAGAGACATACCGAGGTTTTGGTCTCCATGGCAACCAGTAATTTCATGAATGAGTTGAACACTAAAAAAAAAAAATATGGAGTAAAAGTTGTGAATACTATTTAGCTAATTAGAATTGCACATGTACAAGTTGTAAGCACACAAAAATTTTGCAAATCCATCAAAATTGGCCAAGTGATTCTTCTCACATTTAAACTGCAAAAAGCATTACAGAAGCTTACTTGAACAAACTATGATATGTAATATAATAAAGTAGACTGAGACTAGGCTTCCTATAGAACTACCTTAGGAAAATAAAATCTTAATATGAATAGGTAAGAATTCTTAATATCAATTCCTAGTATCAATTAAAAACAAAAATTCTATAGTCATGGAACTGGATAGATGTGGGGCATCACTAGAGATGTTAATACTGTTTTAAAAATGTTTTGATTTATAGTGTGCAAGACAAGAATTGTAATTATTTAATTACATGTGTACTAAACTCATGCGTGAACAAGTTCTGATACCTGATTTTTGGTACTGCAATTCATGTTGGGTGGCAGCTGTGATAGTAAAGAAATGTTTTTGCGCGCTTGGGGAAAAGAAATAAAATGAAACGTAGATAAATGTCATATACTAAGTTGACTTATAATTTCAGTAAAAAGGTGAAAGCATTAATCCTTAGAGTGGGAGACTAATATATCCAGTGTTAATTTATATTGATCAACTAATTGATATTTCTTATCAGAAACAAGTCTTCCAGATCAACTAGAGATGTTAGCATTGGCTAGAAAGGGTTTGCATTCTGGTTGGGAAAATCAGCTTAGTGACAAAAAGTGCCAAGAAGGGCCAAGGAATTATTTCTAATGAAGATATTTGGACACCAAATAGAAACTTGAACTTCATGTACAATTTATAAAAATTGAAGCAAAAGGATCCTTCTCACAATATAGTGAGATGGTCCTTTACATTGAACCTTTTGATTTTTAGTCATAATTGAACTGAAGTTACAAGATAATAAAGGCTGTGACCTTTATCATAATCATTACACAGTTGTATTCGGAGTGGAGCAGTTGACAAAGCAAAGACAGTTTTGCATTTTATCAATAAAAAAAGTGAGTTACATTGTAAACCCTTATACAACTCAGAGTAGAAGTTCTCACCCAGTTAAAAAGAAATTCATACTGGATGTTATAGCTAGTCATTTACACCTTCTGATTTAGTTAATTTATTGTATGAATACATCTGTGTGGTGGATAGGAATGTAAAGAAGTAACAGGCACTGTGTTCAGAAGCTCTGCTTTATAGCTCTTTCTTTTTCTTTCTTTTTTTTCCCCCCCATAGCCTCCACGCCACCCAGCAGAGTAAATAAACGCAGAGTTTCTCCAAGTGTTGTTTCCACCTGGGAAAAGAGAGGCATCATCATGTCTAACATTACTATCGATCCAGATGTCAAACCTGGCGAGTATGTCATCAAAAGCCTCTTTGCCGAATTTGCTGTTCAAGCTGAAAAGAAAATTGAAGTTGTAATGGCTGAACCTTTGGTGAGTCCTTTTCTTCATAGTATTACTTGAAATGGTTCTGCTTTTTTTCTAAAATAGGCTGGTTTATTGTAAGTATGGTTACTGAAAAAAAACCATCCTCGGATATTGTTGACTTTTCAAGGGGTTTACTCAGGAATAAATGGGCGTCTGCAAACAGGGTTGCTACCTGGATTATGTTTTATTGACTTCCGTTAAAACTGTTATGTCGTGGTTACTGGAAACAAGTCCTCTTAGTGCTCATGAGTTCTCTAAAGTTACAAAAGGAAATAGCCACAACAAGAAATGTTCCTTCATTTACACTGCCAAGTGTGTTTCTTGTTGATGTTTCTTTGAAATAATACTTTGACAGTACTCTTTCAAGAAAAGATGCGTTTGTTCTGTTTTCCAAAGGAGGGGAATCAACCTTGAAACTGGCAGAGCAGGTGAGACGCTGCAGCTCAGCTCGCCCAAGGCCTCTGTTTGCAACTGCTGCTTCCAGAAGTGTTCACGTGCAGAAGTGCTCGTGTGAGCACTTGAGCTCCAGCTTTGAACTTTAGGAAAAAATGTTAAGAATCGGTCCAACAGAACACAAAAGTGGTGCTAAACATGTTTTGTGGTGTCACTGATGGAGTCATCTTCAACTAAAACCATGAGCACATCAAAGAGTACAACTTATCGTGTCTGTTTCCTGTAGACATCCAAAAGAGTTAGCCATTTGGGAGCTATTTGATAAGAAAGCGCAGAAAATTTGTAGGAAAAGAGGCACACAAATGGTGAAGGGTACATGGTTAAGAAATGGGAGGAGAGCTGTAGGGGTGCTGATGCTGTTGGGTGGAAAGGCAGATAGCTGCACTCAGGGTGGTCTGCAAGCCTGGTGCTGCAAGTGCCCCTCCCTTGGCCCCTTCTGCTCAACCCTGCATCTCCTAGATGTACGGGGAGGGTGGTGCTTGGCCAGAACAACAAACTGGCTGCAATTCGTATGAGACGAAGAGAGCTTCTCCTGTAGGCTCTGTTAGTTCAGGGTTAAATCTCGTAACCAGAGTGCTGGTGGCAAGGTAAATATAATAGTCCCAGAGTTCACTTGTGCTGCAGGATTTGTCGCTAGATGAGATTAAATAAATGATCTGAGAACAATCCCAGGCTGTGCCTCCCTGTGTTTTAATGCAGTCCAATGTAAATTTACATGTATAGCCAGCATTCCTTATTTTACACTGGTGGGAAGGACAGACTAAATAGAAAACCAGCAATTTAAGAGAGGTGCCAAAAGCTGTGGAAAAGTGAAACAGGCTGAGCCGAGGTAGTACAAAGAGGAAGGAGGGAATCCGTAGGTGTCTCAATGAAAGGAAGTACTGCAGTAGTTTTATTTTTGTATGTGGTATTTGATATAAATACTGAATATTCTGTTCTAGTGAATGACATTTAAACAGAAAGATAAAAGGTTGAAAGAGCACAGGAAAGGCACTGACTGAAATGGGAGAAAATTCTTTAATGGAAGAGAGGAAAGCCTTCTATCATTTTAGGGTGATTTGATTTTGTAGGATGACTTGGCTACAAGTAATGACATGGGGAATATATGCAATATTACATAAATCTTTAATGTGTTAGATGAAGCTAGGCTGTTGGATGAAGCTGTTGGAGATAATTTGGAGCCAAACCAATTAAAGTCAGAAGCTAGGCCCTTTTTAAAACCTGAAGATGAACATGCCAGTAGGGGAGCAAAACTTAATTAGATAATAATAATTTTTAAAAATAGTGACTTCAGATCAAGACAGCACCTGGAGTAGGGGAGCGGTACCATTTTGGCTAGGTGTTTGTTTCATTTGCAAGTAACTGACGTGCGTTTTAAAAACGTAACTAAATGATTTCTCTGGCCCTGAGTTTACTTGTGGTAAACGAGTGAGTAGGTCATTGAGTAGCAAACTAGTTTTCTTTCAGGGATCTTAATTAGAAGTTATCTGCTTGCAAAATTTTCATACTGCACAGCTTCCGAAGTTACAGAATGAACATATCAGCAAATGCTTAAAATAAATTATTCAAATAACAAGTGTAACCACAGGAAGGAAAATAATCTTTCAGTTAGTAAATGAAAGGAAACCACTTAGAAAAATCAATTCTCTTGAATCTTTTGTAGTAGTATATAGTTTTAAAGCAAAAAGGGCGCAGAAACAATTTACTGTACCTTAAAATACTCTTCCTCAGCTGAGCAAGAATGACAGTGAGGCATGATGCCAGCCTTCCCCAAATGTGAAAGAAACTATACCAGTGGAAAAAGTTTAGTAATAAACTCAGTGCAGTTTGCATGTAGATATAGATAGTTAGAATTTAAGCAGTGTGTTTAACATGGTGCCACCAAGTTACCAAGCTGTTGCCCAGGTAAGCTGCTGCCTTTACTAAACTAGTTCAGGCTCATGTTTAAGTCAAAACTAGTTAGAGCGTTTAAGCCCCTTGCCAGCATCAGCAATTTTGCTCCATCATGCAAGTACTAAATGTAGCTCAGACTAGCACTGTACACTTTTGCAAGTCTTGCCTAGGGGCCTTCAAAAGCACGTCTGAAGTCTGTAAAATTCAGCACATCCCATTTCTTCAGGACAGTGTTTGTCACACACTGCTGGGGTGCCGGGGCACGGGTGCTGCCGGGGTGCAGGTGCGGGCGCTGCCCAGCGCTTGGGCTACGGCAGGAGAGGCAGCCTCCCTTGTTGGCTCTCTTGCCTGCAGCTTGGAGGACAGAAACAAGTACACTTGTTTTGCTGGGTTCACCTGAGGCACCCTGCTGAGGTGTGCCAGCCACCAGAGGATGGTGCTGGTGAATACTGGAGAGGAGCCAACAGGTGGTACCTTTTTTCATGGGTGCAGCTGTTTGCACAGCACACACACGTCTGTCTACATCCTGATCTCTGCTGCCTGCCATGTGTTGACATTTCTGCCTTACACAATAGATGCAATCTGCTCTTTGGTTAATTCACTAGTGGGGTTTGTTGGTTCTCCCCCATCCCCTCTTCTAAAAGATGAATGTAAGCCTATTATTTCTGTGTCTCAATGAACTTCAGGAAGCCAGGAAAATAAATCTTAAATTATTAATTCAAGGAAAGTTTCCAGACCTTTATGCTGTTGGGTAGTCATGGGAGACAACTGGGGCCGTGACAGAGCAGAGTTAGAAAAAGACATTGAAAGAAAATGAATTTTAAAACCGTACAAATAATTCAAAGGCATTGGTAAACCTGTGACTGGGTTAGAGTATTATTTGGTTATGTCACATTTGTTTGGTTAGTGTTAGGTTAACTACAGTGTTATTTACCTTTTACCAGTTAAGATCTTTAATACTGAGGAAAAAATAATAGGATTATGAAATTGTGTTCATAAGAACAGGATTATGAACAGAAAGTTTGCATTCTTTCTGATACTAAAAATTTTAAAAGTCATGTGAACATTTGAGGTACAGAAGTGTCTCAGTAGAATGTGGGGGTAAAAAACTACATTTTCAGAACTAGCTTAATAATAGTTTGCTATCTGTTGACAGGGATTTCAACTTCTTTGTCTAAAGATTTACAGATTGTTTCACTTCTCTGTGATTTGTTATCATTCTTTTCTTTAGCTAGTTCTTATTTTAGACACATGCAATGGGTATAATGAACTCGGTGTTTGTTCACCTGTATAATAGTTTTGTAGTACCATGGTGGAAATCTGGCGTTTTGGGGCATTGTGTCAGGAGGAGACTTAAGGAACCTGATTTTTACAATCTTCTCACAGGAAAGTCACTTCTCCATCTTCTTGGGAAATAGTTTTAGCAATGTATGATGTTTATATAGGGTGGAACGTTTCTCGTGTTTTTGTTTATAGATAAGATTACAATTATTTGTGCAGTTTATCTAAAAGCATGGTACATATGACATGAATTCACCTATGGCAGACCTTTTCTTGTAAAAAAAACGGTGAGGGGGGGAAATTGTATTCAAAAAGGAATTCTGATTTGCAGCTGCTTTCTGGAGCTTTTAGTATCTGCTGGAAAATGTCAGTTTTCATAACAGTACTTTGAACAAAGTTAACATGTAAAATTAAGTGAATTTGTAAGATTCAAGTAAGTGTTTATTTGCCAGTATCTGAAACCTGTTCTCCTTTGCTTTTGAATATACAGTGGAAGAACACTGGCTAATAATGAATAAATAGAACTATTTCAGAATATTAAATGAATTTTCCTGAAACCACCATCTTTTAAAAAATCTTTTTTATTTGGGCATACTGGAAGTGTACGTGAATGACAATGTTTTCTTAGGTAATTCAGTGGGTTTCTTTGGATTATGGAAAGTGGAAATGGTCTGATTTATGAATTGGTACCTGTATTATTTCAAGTTATACATTCAGAGCAGGTCAATCCTTTTTGCTTGGGCAATGTTGAATTCAAGCTTTCAGAGGCTATAGCAGTTGCCAGAGATTGTGTCCTTTTGAACACCAAATGCAACTGTAGTCAAAGCAGAAAGTGACAGAAATTGTCTTGTATTTTCAAGATTACAAATAGGACAAGTGAAAATAAGCTGCTAGTTTGAATCTTGCACTCAGTGCATGCAATCCCAATTTGCATGCATTTAACACATAGCCTGCCCATTGCAGCCTTGAAAGTGATAAATGCCAGGCAGTGCTGACCGGACACTTCTGTCGACTTCCTCACAGAATGGGTGTTGTCTCTTAGTAAACCACTAAGTAATTATTTTGTGTCAGCTGAGGCACAACCTGTTGAGAGCAGGACTGGCTATCAGTATTGCTGATACCTCCTTTTACATCCCAGATCAGGCAAGTTAACAGCTCTACTACTTGATTTGCTCTGTGAAAGCTCCTTGTTTGCTTGCTCCAAGCTAATGTGAGCTATTAACTCTTTACCTTGAATACTTCTTCTACTTTCCTTTTTCTTTTTTTCCTTTTTCTTTGACTTTTGACAAAGGTAATGTTTTTTATTCATTTATTTGAAAGTGCAGAGTAGTTCAAAATCTCTCTAAGTAGCAAGAAATGTTCATAGTATCTTTATATCTTACTGCTTTGTAGTATGCCCTTAAAGCTCTTACAAGTGGCACTTGGCTTACAGTAAATCATTGCCACTAAGAGCCAGTAAATGGGAATTAGTCTGTTTCTTTTCCTTTCTGGTTTTGGGTTCTGTTTTCTGCCCCAGGACACCCTAGCAAGAGACTATGAAAGCTGTATTCCTTCTAACTGTGTAATTTGGTACTCTCCACAGTGACTAGTAAGAGTTACTATTGCATCACTATTACATTTCATGTACATTTTGTTTTCTTAATGCTTTAATTATCACTAAATTATTTTTTCAGGAATATAATTTAGTTTTGATATTGACAAAGGAGTATGTCTTACAGTACTAGTAGCAATGAGATATTGTAATAATTATAGCAATATTGTATCTTTTATGTACCTTCCAAAGTTACTTGAAATGTAAAGCAATTTGTTACTGACTTTCTCCCTTTCCTGGACTATTTTCTAGCTATTTTTCATTACAGTTCAGGGAAAGCACAGATTGGAAATGCCTTAAGCAATTGTCTCTGCCTTTGTGAAGGCATTTTAAAATTAATTCTTGTAGTTTAGGAAAACTGCCTTATGTGAACGTGAATATGGTTAATTCGAATGGGAATGGTTTTCCTTCTGAGTTGCACTTGGTATCTACCACCAGCTGTCTCTGTTGAGCACACTACTGTAGGCCCTGCTGTTTGGGAGAGATGTTTGTCAGTCCTGTAACATTATTACTATTAAGCTACCAAGCTTCTGTTTGTTTTGAATGTATTCATCTGTTTTGTGAGTACACTTCACATCTTCAGGAATGGTTCTAGCTGAAAAATAACACAAATATTCATATTCAGGTTATTTCTTTGTTCTGTAATATAACTGAGAAAGAAGGAATCTATCTGTGAAAGGCATCTTTGCTAATGGTCAATTGCATTGTGAAATTCATGTTTCCTTTTATTTTTTTTACAGGAAAAGCTCTTGTCCAGATCTCTTCAAAGAGGTGAAGATCTTCAGTTTGATCAGGTAGGGGACATGTAATTGAAGGCAGTTTTTATTAGATTAAGGTGGCCTCTGTGTGTGCAGAATAGTCATTCAACTGTTGTAATAACTTGGAATATCGATGCCTGAATCAGCATCAGAAGATTTAGACCTAGAAAGTTAGTGAGACTTTATTTTCCATTTTAGAATATAACAGTAAGAAACTACTAGACCAGATTAATGATTTGAAGGTGGTAGTGAAAGCTGCTGGAGGAGAGATGCTGAAATATGGTAGGGGACAAGAAGAATTAGTTTATTTCTATTCCTGTTAGCAGGCTTTTTATCACCTCAGCCTGTATCACTTCCTGCTTCAGTGTCTGGGTTATTGGACATGGCAGTGACATCTATGGACCTACCCCTACTTTTCCATTAATGGCTATATCTGCACTTCTTTTCCCTCCTCCCAAAAGACAAACAAACAACAACATATAATATTTGATGTATAATTTTCCAAGAAAACCAAAACCACCACCAAAACCCTCACTTAACTTTTTAGTGTTTTCTAATCTAACCTGCTGTGAGCCAGTTATCTCCTAAATGAAAGTTTACTCATAAGCAAGGAAGAATGAAGGGGGATAGGGTATAAATTCTTCTGCAGCTGCAGTATTTTGTTTTGAATGTGATCAAAAGCTAAATAATATACATGATAGGGAAGATCTAAGGAAATCTGTAAATCAGTAATATTACTGATTTTTTTTTTTTACTAACTCTGCCACCCCCTCCTACCACCACATTTTTCCTCAGTGAAGGATGTTTTCTATAAATCACTAGTAGTCATATATTAAATTACATAGAGGTTCTAGAAATATACAGAGGGAAGAAAAGTAGTACAGCATATAATTTTTGCAATCTTGTAATACAGAAACAAACTAGTTTTCCTGAAAATACAGTACTTGAAAAATAATTCATTTTGATTGTGTCTGTGTGCGTCTGAGTTTTTAGTTTGTTCTTTTATTTTTAATCTACTTAGGGTTCATCGAAATCTGAGTTTTACAGAAACATAGAATGGTTTGGGTTGTAGGGGACCTTTAAAGGTCATCTAGTCCAACCCCCTTTCAGTGAGCAGGGACATCTTCAACTAGATGAGGTTGCTCAGAGCCCTGTCCAACCTGACACTGAGTGTTTCCTGGGATGGGGCTTCTACCACCTCTCTGGGCAACCTGTGCGAGTGTTTTGCCACCCTCAGTGTAAAAAAATTTCTTCCTTCTATCTAATCTGAATCTTTTTAGTTTAAACCCTCTTTTAGATTAAAACTGTCACTGCTTGTCCTGTTGCAACAGGCCCTGCTAAAAAGATTGTCACTGTCTTATAGGCCCCCTTTAAGTTCTGAAAGGCTGCAGTAAGGTCTCCCTGGAGCTTTTTCTCTCCAGGCTGAACAACCCAACATTCTCAGCCTTTTTTCAGAAAAGAGGTGTTCCAGCCCTCTGATAGTTTTTGTGGCTCTCCTCTGGACCCGTTCCCAACAGGTTCATGTCTTTCCTGTGCTGAGGACTCCAGAGCTGGTCCAGAGCTGGACCAGTGCTACAGGTGAGGTCTCACTAGGGCAGAGTAGAGTGGCAGAATCACTTGCCTTGACCTGATGGGACACATTTATTTTGATGCAGCCCAAGCTGGCCTTATGGACTATGAACACACATTTCCTGCTCATATCCAGCTTTTCATCTACCAGTACCCCCAAGTCCATCTCAGCAGGGCTGCTCTCAATCTCTTCATCCCCAAGCCTGTATTCATACCAAGGACTGCCCTGACCCAGGTGCAGGACCTTGCATTTTAGCCTTGTTGAACCACATGATTTTCATACAGGCCCACTTTTCAAGCTCGCCTGGGTCCCTCTGCATGGCATGCCATCTCTCAGGCACATGAACTGCTCTGCTTGGTTTGGTGTTATCTGAAAGCTTGCTGAGGGTGTGCTTGATCCCGTTATCTATGTAATTGATGAGGGTATTAAACAGCATTGGTCCCAGTGTGGACCTGAGTGACACCAGTTTTCACCAGTCTCCATGTGGACAACAAGCCATTCACCACTATGATCTGAATGCAACTGAACCAAGTCCTTATCCGTAGAACTGTCCAACCATCAAATCCCTCTCTCTCCACTTTAGAGAGAAGGATGTTGTGGGGGATTATGTCAAAGATCTTATGTAAGTGCAGATAGACAACATCCATAGCTCTTCCCTTGTCCCCTGATGTAGTCACTCCACCACAGAAGGCCACCAGGTTGGTCAGACAGGACATGCCGTTGTTGAAGCCATGCTGGCTGTCTCAAATCACCTCGCTGTCCTCCATGTACCTTAGCATAGCTTCTAGGATGATGTTTCTTGATATTCCTAGGCACAGAGGTGAGGCTGACATGTGGGTAGTTGCCAGAGTCCTCCTTTCTGCCCTTTTTAAAAATGGGTGCAGTGTTTCACTTTTTCCAGTCACTGGGGACTTCACCTGACTGATTTTTTTTTAGGGGTGGGCTTGGCAGCCACATCAGCCAGTTCCCTCAGGGCTCTGGGGTATTCACAGGGATTGTGAATTTTGATAGGGAATTCTGAACATTGTCAAAAAGTACTTCGCATCGCTTCTCTCTGTTCATTGCTGGGTTATGTAATCCATATTAAGATCAATCCTCCAGCAGTGCAGAAGATGGCAGAGTAAAAAGAGATTGGCAAAGTGTGGGGGAGAGGAGGATCCAGGGTGTACAGCCCCAGCATCCAGCAGAGGAGCTAGAGCTGTTGCTGGGCCAGCCGTGTTCACCCAGAGATGGTTACAGAGTTAGGAATTTTGATCTAAAAAGTCACTTTAGCTCTGCTGATAAGGTGTCTGAGCTAGTAAGTATTTTACTTCGTGAATAAAAAGATTATGACTGAAACACAGGGAGGGATTCTGGGGGTGAGAAGGTGTCTACTTAATGCTCATTCTCTCAGCTAAGGGATGAGAAGAGGGGTGGAGGAAGGTGGCCTGTTGTGTTGCCTGGCCTTATCATAAAAAGGTGAAATAGCTGTTTAATGGGGTTAGAAGCTGTTTCTGTTGGAAGCGTAGCCAGATCAAGAGGGTTGCTCTTAGATCCAAGTGTGCAAAATCAATAGTTTTTAATTTTTAGATAGTACAATTCTTTCACTTGTCATTGAGGCTCAATTTGAACCAAAATGTAAATCTAGCTGAAAGAGATGAAACTTTGGCAAACAGGAAGGAAATTTTTATGTTGATACAATTCTGCGCTGATAAAAACTGAGTATTTTATTATCAGTGCTTTCTCTTTATCATTCCCAGCACATCAAGAAGCTACTGGAAAGGAATTTTTTTTTATAGAGCATATATTGCATCTTTTAAAATATTTTTGCTTGTACAGCTTGGCACCAAAATAGCTTGTAGTTTTCTTCCTTTGTTTGTTGTAGGAGTCATACTTGGCAATTTCCTACTCTTGTCCTAAGACACCAAAACGTTAGGATTGCACAGAAGCTTATCGCGGCTGTCTCGGTGACTGAAGGCAGATGTGCCTCTGCTGTTCAGGCCTGCTCATGATGAGGCACAACTTGAGCAGCGTTTTCAGGATCAGGACTTGGGTCGTAGCTGGAATTTGGGCTCTAGCAACTTACTGTAATTTTGCCTGTCCCTCTCCATACCTCTCAGTGTACCATTTTAAGCACAACTATTGGCAGTGTGTTTTAGCCTTTAAGACAGGAGCACACTTCGCTGTTCCAGTCCAAGGACTGTAAGCATACCTGATGATGACTAGTGCAGCCCTGTCCTCTTGAGTATTGTAGGATCTCTTTGTTTGGATCGATGCTTTCATCAATCTTTTTTGATGTGCTGAGATCACAGCTTGAGTACTGTGTTCAGTTTTGGGTACCACAGTTTAAGAAGAACAGTGACATGTTGAAGCGAGTCCAGAGAAGAGCTGTGAAGCTGGTAATGGGTCGGGGGAACATGTCTTACAAGGAGCAGCTGAGGGAACTGGGATTGTTTAGCCTGGAGAAGAGGAGACTGAGGGAGAGATCTTATTGCTCTCTTACAGCTACCTGAAAGGAGGTTATAATGAGGTGGGGGTCAGTCTCTTCCTCCAGGTTAGTAGCAGTAAGACGAGAGGAAATGGGCTGAAGTTGCACCAGGAGAGGTTTAAGATCATCACTTGATGATCTTAGAGGTCTTTTCCAACCTTCATGATTCTGTGATTATTTGATTTCAACATAGGCATAGTTTTGTACTAAAATAAAGGGGGTTTCTTATAATTTTTATGTAAGAAGATCTTGAATTTAGCATCAAAGCAGAATGGTAAATACTTCAAGTAAAAAGAATAAGCATAAAGCTCACGTTCTTCTTAGCAGCTTGACTTGATGATCTTAGAGGTCTTTTCCAACCTTCATGATTCTGTGATTATTTGATTTCAACATAGGCATAGTTTTGTACTAAAATAAAGGGGGTTTCTTATAATTTTTATGTAAGAAGATCTTGAATTTAGCATCAAAGCAGAATGGTAAATACTTCAAGTAAAAAGAATAAGCATAAAGCTCACGTTCTTCTTAGCAGCTACGTAATATGGGCAAAAATTTAATCTTCCTTGTAATTCCAGTGCCTTTTCCTTAGAATGATAAGGATGCAAAACTTGGCAGGAAATGAATAATTATGATGTAAACCTGATATTTCATTTGCAGAGGAATACGCTTTGTAGTGCCAGTAGTTTCTGGATTTAGCACTTCACCGATGACAATCTATCTTTTTTAATGCGTATGGTACAGCTTGTTTCTGTAGAAGATGAAGTAAATTGTGTAACTGCTGGAATATGTATGGGTGGTAGTAGTATTAACATACTGTGTAAACTAGGAAAACCTAAGTTTAGTTATATTTGAAAATGTTTAGTTATGCTTACATGAAGCTTTTTTATTTTTCTTCTACTAATAAACCAATCAGTTCAGGAGAAGGGCAGAGGAGTAGAAGTGCCTTGTGGAGTCATTTACATTGACAACACAGGGTAACTTAAATGTTGCTGACTCTGTTCCTGTCCTGCTGTGTGTGTAGTTGCAGTATGAACGTAACTCTGTGCAGTGTATTGGATATATAATTATTTTTAGAGAAAGAGAAATTAATCTATTTCCCCAGCGTTTTAAGTTATTTGGGGCATGGGAATTGACAATAAATTCTGATGGCAAAACATGTTTTGGATTGCTGTGGTTGGTGATAAAACCCTTCTTCATCAAGTTTCACTATAGCTTTCATTCGAAGGATTACCAATTACATTGATTATTTGATGCTGAGTCTAATATCTTCAGTTTAGTAACTCATGAGGAGAGTTTGTTCTGCTTTATGAATTCCCCACCCCCTAGTCCCACCCCCCAAATTTATTAATGTTTTTAACTTGTGATTTCTGCTTATGGCTGAAGTGAGGTGAACAGAGGTGTCTGAGTAACCCAGACTGATGCAAGCAACAGGCATTTCTTGCACACGAAATCTAGGTGAAGATTTTTCAAAGCTCTGTCAACACAAATGAGTCTTTTGAGTTCTTTCTGATGCTTCCCCTTACTGGAGGATAATAGTTTTGATAGTAACCCGCAAGTGTCTCAAATTTGCTCATAGTTGTTTTTTCCTCCTCTCCCTCCTCACAAGTTTTCTCTATTGTTTTTTTTTTTTTTTTTTCCCAAGGAAGTTTGTCAGACTTATGCCACATAAGAAAATTCTTTTGAGCAGCATCTTAATTTGTATGTGTTCTTTTCCACCACACACTACTTCATTTCAGAACACAGTCGAACTTTAAAGTGGTAAGATTGGGCTGCTTTTTAACTGTCCACTTCTAGAAGTCTTAATGTATGTTGGTTGGTTGACTGGGAGTTTATTTTCTACAGTTATTGGTGCACAAGGAACAGGCTAGCAACATGCTTGGTTTCCAAACCAAATCACGAAGACTTCAATGTATATTAGTATAAGATTAAAATGTAGCCTTTGTTCTGAGATACAAGGCATTACAGCAAGTCAACAGAATATTTCCAGCTTCTGTTTCTTTTCTGTGTTAAAAGAGTTTTGTATGGTTTTGTGTTGCTTTGTGCAGTTAGCTCAATGTGCATGCCCCTCCTGTAGCAGACGTGCCATTTCTTTCCCTTTAATCCCTTTTTAGTGAGCGTCCTGTTAGCAGATGATAATAAGGAAAAAGCAATCTCATTATTCTAGTAAATATTTCCTAATGAAACCTAGTTCCGGTTCAGATTTGGAATATACGTAGACTGTATTGTATATTGGGATTTAAAATTTTATGAAGTTACAGAGTAAGAATATGTCTTTACTTATTTTGAGGAAGTTTTTCCACTTGTTTATATAACTAAAGGATTTTTTTCAGAGGGTCAGTAATACTCCCTAATTCTTGTGACTTGAATAGCTGACTGGTTAACAAGCTGAATAAAGTATTCAGATGGGTGAAAGAGGTGCCCCTGGGGCTTCCATATGGTTAAGCTGCCCCCATCCTTTACCTAAACCTGAAAAATCACAATGCTTCAAATGAGGGTAAAGAAATAATTGCATTGATGTTATCTTGATTTTCTGGAATAGTGACTAAGAGATAAGGTCTAACAAGAGGATAGCTTCTATTGAAACCTCTTGTTTGAAAGATGCAAGACGTAATTCATACATGGAGTCAGTGAGCAGTGTGGTAACTCTCCTTTTCCAGACAGTGTTTTGGGGTTGGGCTTGCTCCCTGCTGCCTCCTGGCAGGGAGTTTATAGCTGCATTATGTTGCCTTTCTCTAGTTGTTCTTCTCTCCAAGCTTGGGCACCAATGACTTCTGTTAAGTTAAAGGAAGCCTAGAGAATTTGAGTTTCAGGCCATGTTAAAGTCTTCCTTCTATAATGGTTTCTACTGCCACTGTTTCATAGATTTGTTCACAACTCACATGGGTGTTCTGAAAGAAAACAGTAGATAGGGGAGTTATGCTGAAAGTAAACAGCTTGAGATCTAGACTAGTCAAATGTATTAAAAGTAGAGTATCTGAAAGGCTCTTATTTTTGTTTGTATAATAACCAAAGCAGCATGTTTTTGAAGGTTATATACTCGCTCAGTTTAGGAGGGTTACCGCTTATCTCTCATATATAATTGAAAAATATTTATACTTCAGAGATACATATAGAACATTTGGGGACATCTTACAATCTCTGCTGTTTTATCAATGGTTCTACAGCAGTTATCTGTATACATTCAGGATTCTGTGATTTCCTGTGAGCTTCAGAACATTCTACTTAAATTTATCAAAATTAACTTAGTGTGTCATACAAAAATTATCATAAGGGTCTTTTCCACCTTAAAAATTCTATGGTATTTGCAGTAATTCTCCTAGCTGAAAATGATACATGAAGTTGCCACTTTGTAAAATTCTATAATGTTTTTTAACATTAAAAACAAATTGAAAGGATGATAACAATTCTAGAATGTTTAGCTGCTTCATTGTGCTAAACTATTTCTCTTACTTTTTTTCAGTTGATAAGCTCTATGAGCTCAGTAGCAGAGCACTGTCTCCCCTCCTTACTACGCACCTTGTTTGACTGGTACAGGCGTCAGAATGGAACAGATGATGAATCTTACGAATACAGACCTCGCTCTAGCACAAAGTCAAAGGGGTAAGAGTCTCCCAAAAGTCTGTTTGAGTTTTGTGTGCTTTCTTGTAAGAAATAGTGTGCTTTATACTTTTTTGACAAGTATTTTGTATTTGGATCTGTTGTTACTTAGATACTTGTAGAAGGAGTGTTGGGTTTCTTTAAGGTAATGAGGTAACTTGGGTAGATGATAGGTATGAAATGACTTAATGATTTCAGGCTTGATAAACAAAAGGGAGTTGGACTCTGATAATTCCCCAAGACAGTTTGTACTTTTTTGAATGGTTGTTGGCAGATCTTTTCAGGAGTGGGCAAGATGTCAGTGCTGCATCAAACCCCAGAGTCTTTCTAACTGTCCATTTTATATGTGTGTGCAACGACGATTGCATGAAAGACATGTATGCCCCTAATCTGCAATATTTGCATTCGGTCTTGTGTATGATACAAATGTTCTTGATTTCTTATTTTAGGGATGACCAACAACGTGAAAGAGATTATCTACTTGAAAGGAGGGACTTAGCTGTAGATTTCATTTTTTGTTTAGTTTTAATAGAGGTTCTTAAACAGGTAAGTCCTTTTGGTGCAAACTTCTTTTGATCTTTTGTTTTTAATATGAATTTCAATCATCTCTTTTGAAGTTTTATATTAAAAAACTGGAGCATATAAATGATAAGCCTATGCAAGGCTGTAATTATACTCTCAGTTACATAAAGCCCTTGGCCTGTTCTGTCTTTACATACTTGTGTTATTTCAGTTCCTGTGTCTTGGATTCACTAAGTCAAATCTGCATATGTACTGTAAAAAGCAAAACTATGGAAAACAACGTTCTATTTCTCCTCTACCTTGTGTTTGTGTAAATGTGTGTGAAATACAGTGTAAAATCATTGAATGACAAGATAAAAATGTCACTTATAAAAAAAAAAAAATCAGAAATTACGTATTTTGCTTTGCGTTATAGTGGAGTCCTAGATGATGTCATTCAGAATTTCTGTTAATAGAAAATTTGCGTTGCTGTATAGACAAGAGGATAGTTTGGCTTCAAGTACAGCATTTTTTTTCTCACATTTTTTGAGAGGAGAAAATTACTGTAAGAAACAGTCTGAAACATGAAGCAGACAAGCAAGTTTCATGCTTCAAATACTTAAGTAGTTTTTTCTTTTATGTATAGGTACATGAAAATTATGTGGCTTTCTGTACAAGGACTTGTTTAGCTGGCAAATAATTTGCAGGAGATTTATATTTGTATGGTTGTGTATGGTATGTTTGTGATACAGGGAAAAATGAAAACAGTAAAACAGAAGAGGTTCCTGTCCTCCTCTGAGACACCAGTGAACCATCCAAAGTCATACTCCTGTACTGCCTGCACACAGATGGAGAGAACAGTATTAAAACCATTGAATTCTCTTATGTGTTAGCATTTGTCTTGGGTTCAGCCGGGGTAGGGTTAATCTCCACATAAGAACGTCAGAAAAATCTGTAGTTCATGCTTTCTACCTACCTTAAATTTCTGTCAGTATGAAAGAAAAAGGGAAAGGGAACAGGTTGTTTAGAATTGCAGGGTTGTATGTGCAGCTCCTGTGTTTTGAACTGGTACTGTTTTTTTATTTGAGTACATGTTACATGATTCAGATGTCAGGAGAGGTGCCAAAGTTTTGGTCTTGAAGAAAGTCTATGATGACACTTGTAATTCTTGGTGAGCCTCTTAACACTTGTACTTCAGACAAGACAGGTATCCTTCTGATAAGGATATTTTCCTCTGCTGAAGATTTGCAAGGAGACACTAAACGCAGATACACCCCTTCAGGAAATCCTTCAGCCAATTTAGTTTACCTAAAGGAGGGTTTCTGTGTTCTGCCTGTAATGTGAATCTGCATTTAGTGCAGAAAGGATAGCTTAATCACAGAATGGTAGGGATTGGAAGGGACTTCTGGGGATCATCTAGTCCAACGTCTCTGCCAAAGTAGGTTCACCTAGAGCAGGTTGCACAGGAGCACATCCAGGTGGGTTTTGAAAGTCTTCAGAGAAGGAGACTCCACAGCCTCTCTGGGCAGCCTGTTCCAGTGCTTTGTCACCCTCACAGTAAAGAATTTTTTCCTCATGTTGAGGTGGAACTTCCTGGTTGCAGTTTGTGCCTGTTGCCCCTTATCCCATTGTTGGACACCACTGAAAAGAGATTGGCCCTATCCTCCTGCCAGTCACCTGTCAGATGTTTGTAAATGTTAAGATCCCCTCTCAGCCTTTTCTTCTCCAGGCTAAACAGTCCCAGGTCTCTCAGTGTTTCCTCGTAAGAGACATGTGCCAGTCACTTAACTGTCCCTATAGCCCTCCATTGGACTCTTTCCAGTAGCTCCCTGTCTCCTTTGAACTGAGGAGCCCAGAACTGGACACAGTACTCTAGATGAGTCCTCACCAGGGCAGACTGGGCAGGGAACTCCCTCAAACTTCTGGTCACACTCTTCTTCGTGCACCCCAGGATAACCTTGACCTTCTTGGCTACAAAAGCACATTGCTGGCTCATGGTGAACTTGTCCACCAAGACTCCTAGGTCCTTCTCTGTTGAGCTGCTTTCCAGTAGGTCAACTGCTAACCTGTACTGGTGCATGGGATTATTCCTCCCAAGATGCAGGGCTCTACGCTTGTCCATGTTGAATTTAATTAGGTTTCTCTTTGCTCAACTCTCCAGACATTTTGTCAATAAACATACTGACATTCACATTACATCCATTTTCTTGGGAGACCTATCGTGGTTTAGTTCTTAGAACTGGGTGCAAAGTGTATGAGGCAGCCCTTTCTGTAATACACACAGAGCAACCAGAGAGTGTGACAGACATGACCTATGTAGGAACAAAGTCTTTTGCTTAAATGACTACTCATTAGATTAATATGCATGTAAACAGCCGGTTCCAGTAACAGTAAGTTCTTAGACAAATAGCTTTGTTGATGCAGAAATAATATTAAATACTCTTAAGTGCTTTCTTTTCTGTAGAGAGGACAGTAATCTTTTCTTGTAATATTTTAGTGACGATATTAATCACTCTTAAGCAATGATGTTTACTAGGATTATCCTAGTCCCTACCTAATTCGCTTTAAAATTTTAAAGATATTATGACTTCATAATTATACATAGTGCTTTTCTTTAAACAATAGATTTGATTTTTAAGCAAACATTTTCTTTTAAACCTGTGAAGAGTGAGTTTAACACCCACTTTTAATACCTAGAACAATGCTGGGGTTTGTTTCCACCAAATTGTTAATTATTGCTAGGAAGATTTTTGGATGTATTGGCTGCTTTCCTCTGCAGAAATGAAAAAAGAATTGATAATCTCTTCTCCATTCTTGTTTTTTGGTTTTGTCTTCCTTTATATCAGGATGAATTGCCTTTTGAGGTTAAATGTAGCACAAGGTAGACAATGTAACAGGAGTCAACCTAGTCTAATAAACCTTGATGACAGAGTGTACTACTGCTGTTTATTTTGAGTTTAATCCCTAAAAGGCAGTATGCAAAATAATTTAAGCAAGTGTCAACACAGATTGTGTAAATGTTCATGTATTGCAGAATTAACTTGATATCATATGTCAACAAAGAATGTGTCCTTTGACACTCGTGACATTTCTACAGGGCATCTCACAGTACTGTTTATTTACTTCATATATACATATGTGTTATGCATAGTTACATACATATGAATGATATCTGCATTCCAGATACCTGTTCATCCAGTGCCAGATCCTTTAGTACATGAAGTTCTAAACTTGGCTTTTAAGCACTTTAAACATAAGGAAGGGTAAGTTTCACTTATGTGCTTTAAAATACTTTGTATTACCAGCGTGTGCTTAATTGTTGTGATTGTTGTTCTTTGCCTCAAGTGTGACATGTTGGTGATAATACGGTAAGTGAACACTGCTTGATATCTTAAAACTGGAAACCTGTCTTGAAAGAACACAGCTGGGTTCAGTATAATGCTGTTTGTTTTGCTCAGAATATACAGAAAGATTTGCGTAGCCAGCCAGAATAAGAAAAGTATGAATTTGGATAACTATAGTGAACTTCCTATGCAGAATACTTCTCTTATGTCTGCTCAGTGAAATCACATCAGTTTAAATGTCACCCCTACATTTCATACTTGACTTACTTTGTTTTTATGGTAATAATCCACCTTTCTGTGGAACAAATTTTTGTTTATAATTGGGAACACACTTGTTGTTTGGAAGAAAAAAGTTGTATTCAGCACTGTTTTTTTCTTTCAATTTTTTTTTTCTTTAGGTATTCAGGAACCAACACTGGGAATGTGCATATTATTGCAGACTTATATGCAGAAGTGACAGGGGTTCTTGCTCAATCAAAGTAAGTTCAGTCTCTGACACTTCTTGCATTTGGGGAAAAATGACTCTAGACTTAAGAAGTATTTAATAGAGCAGCATTTAGCAATGACCCCAGTAATTAAGTGTCAAGTGCAGTCCAGTGTACTCTGGCATGTTTGTCATGTTCCAGCACAATAAATTTGAATTAATCAAGAAATAATCTTTAATACAACACTGAATTGCGTTGCTGTCAACTTGTAGGTGCAGGGAAAGGAGGCCTGGTATCAGTCAGTTGTTGTCGTTCGGTTAACAAGTATGTTCTAATGTGCTGATCATCACAGGCACTCTTAAATGCTTAGAGTTTAAGTATCAGGGTTCAGTTTGCTTGTGTTTCATTCATCCGAGGTGCTGTTATCCTTAACAGACTAAAGAAAAAAATTATAGACATCATATAACAGCAACTAATAATGCAAATAATTATGATCTGTATCCCTTGTTCAGATTTCAAGCTGTTAGGAAGAAGTTTGTCACTGAATTAAAGGAACTGCGACAAAAAGAACAGAGTCCTCACGTAGTCCAAAGTATCATCAGTTTGATTATGGGAATGAAGTTTTTTCGAGTGAAAATGTATCCCGTGGAGGATTTTGAAGCATCATTTCAGTTCATGCAGGTAAATGAGTACTACAGAAAACTGAAGTGAACATTATTTGGATTAAGTCATGAAGCTACAGTGATGCTTGCTGTGATCAGTCAGTCATTCTACTTGTGTGTTGTCTGTAATCCTTTTCTGTTTATTTCATAAGTTCTTAGAGCTAGGAATCATTTCTCTGATGCTTGTGAGTACCTAGCATAGTGACAGCCTGTCCTCGATTGTCTCAGTAATGTAGCAAACCCATAATATATAAATTTATTCAAGACTAAATGAAAATGGGCAGCAATCAAATAATTTTCTTTCTTTATGAAAGCAGTGGGTTAAACAAAAATGTTACTTGATATATCTTTTAACAGCTGAGATGCCAAGAAACATTTTTATTTAAAAAACTCTTCAGTTAATTTTCAGAAAGACTTAAAATCTCTTCTTTTGCTTCTCTTGATTGTGAATTAAAAGTTGTCCCAATGAATAACTCACCCATTCCACAGTAACTGATGTTATGACAACGTAGTCATAAATTTTATTAGAGATATTTAACAGCCATTGACATTGATCTCAGTCCTGAAAAAACTAACATAAGCATAGGTGCTTTAAATTGTGTCCAGAGTGGTAGTTTGATATAGTAGAGTGTGCAAACCTGATTAGATTATTTATTTCTCTGTAAAATTTTCTTTGCATCAAAGTTATCTTGAAAATTAAAATTATTATATTAAAAAAACACTCTTTTCTGTTAATTTCAAGAGAGATAAGTGTTTATATTTTTAAACTTCAGAACAATCTGAGGAAAATTGTGCATATTCTTGTATTTTCTGTGTACTCTGTAAATTCTGAGTAGAAAGTAAAGCGCTATCTGGTATTACAAACATTCTCCTTTAAATTTGTCTTTAATTGCCACAGAAATGGATTTTTAAAGTTTCTAAGTTTTTGTAAAGTTAGTATTGCTGAGAAATATAAGACTAACTTAAACACACTGTATGTTTTACGTTAAAACTGGCAATTAATGCCTTCCTTTTTCTAAATATTTTCTAATGCTTCCTTACAAAGGAATGTGCTCAATACTTCCTGGAAGTAAAAGATAAAGATATAAAACATGCACTTGCTGGTTTGTTTGTGGAAATTCTCATCCCTGTGGCTGCTGTAAGTATTTTTTTTTTTTCTAATTTTTTTTTTTTCCCCTGTTATTCCTCTCACTTTAAATTATGCTCTCATTGCTAAAATTACTTCCGTTAATCCTCATAAGATTCAAAAAGACTATTCAATATATTACAAGCACCTACATAATCTTTTAAAGGGAAATTTGTCACTGTGCTTTGTGTATTAGCTAGCTTCCAGTCTATTTTCAGAACTTCTTAAAATTGTATGTTTTCTAGATACTTTTATCACTAGGGCACTGTGTAGTCTTATACTTGTTCTAAAAATTTAGAATTTCCTTGATTTAGTATTTGTTCACTCCAGGGTCCCATTTATTTTTATTAGCTGAAACATGTGAAGTTCTTCCTAGAATAAACTGAGATATGTAATGTTTCTACAGTCCAATATTTAGAGTGTGAACTCCTATACAAGAAGGAAGAATGTAGGTTTTGGCTAATTTATTAAAATTTGTTCACAGAGGTGAGTGTCTACTAGTTGTAATCCTTAAAGTGGAAGAGCAGTCAATTATCTCCCATATGTATTTTAAATCTAAAGCCAGAAATCTTACTTGGCAGCAATGAACAAGAAAAAAATCCCTCTGTATGATCACAGTGTTGGATGTACAGTGTCTGTAATGCTGCTTGTGAGAATGCTTTTTGTGTAGCTGGGTTCTCCACTTTCCTTCCAGGCTTCTTCGCTCAGTAGTGTAAAGCTTGGTCAACAGGTCAACAAGAAGTCAACCAGCAGTTTGATATATCTCAGGTTGACCAATTACCATAAACTCAGAAAGTTTCATCGTAGTAGATTGATGCTTGCTGTAATTCTTGTCTAAAATTGTAGTTGTACTAGCAAATGCTAGGCCGATGTGTTTGGCACGCTGTCCTGAAAAATGGCTCCAGGTAATGACTGATTGTAGGGGCATATCCTGGTATATATGGAGAACTGGGACATGAAGATCATGTTTTGTAGGGTGGGATGTACAAAGATTAGCATACTGGTTGGGGAATCCTGTCTAAACAAGCTTGTGGGAAAAGAAAGATAAATCTCTGTGAACTGTGTCCTCCTTCAAATCAGCTGCCGTGCCCTGAGTTGTGGGGAAGTGTGTCTCGTCCTTCACTGGATTCAATCTTGGTTTCTTTTAAACTAAAACTTCAGAAAGGAGGCAATCATTCTTGTTAAGGAATGCCCACAAAGAGGTGGTGTCAGTGGTAGCTGTTGCTTGACTAAAGTCTTGATTTCAGCTGGACATACTTGCACTCTTCTGGAGAAGAATTCATTCTCCTGTTAAAAGGCTGAACACATTTGTCATGTTGAACTCCATAGTTCCTTGGCAGTTGGAGTGGGCGGTGCACAGTGGAAGTACTTAGCAATTAGGTAAACACAGATGTTTGCAAAATTGTAATTTACATATGGTGAAAACTGCACGTACAGGAATGAGGCAGAAGCGGCATTTGGGAATTGGGGCTGTGGTGTGGTGCCCACAGAGGTGCACACACGCTGGCTGTGCTGAGCACGTGTGCCGTTTTGTGGCCTGCTTCCTACAAGCACAGCCTGAATCAGCCCTTCAAACGCTTGGTGAGGGAGGCTTGATCCTTTCTTCTGACTCATCCAGCCTCTAATCATTTCATACAAATGGAACTTTTAAATAGCAGCGGAGAGCCCCATCCCAGAGTGAGATGCAGTTGAGAGAGTTAGTCATTCGCTTGGAAGATGAGAGAAGCAAGTTCGAATCTTTTTTGAAGCAGATGAAGGAACTGAATCTAGATTTTTCTGTATCTTGAATACAGAAAATTGCTTAAGTGAGGAAGCTATTTGGTTTTGGCATTGTGACTTCTTTACTGTCATTCTCTTGCTTAGTCATTCAGGCATTTTTGAAAATATAACCTTATTTGGACCCCACAGGTAAGACAGATGATAGAATATTTTACAGGGAAGTTAAAGCTGATTGGTCTACCTGCAGTTGCATTGCAAAGCAACAGTGTAGAGCTGGCAACAACTGGCTAATTTCTCATGCGGAGTTAGTGGGGTACTGATCAATTTATAGCTGAAGAATAGCAAAAGATAAATAATTTTGGGGTAGGCAGGAAGTGATTCCAAAGGTAACTACTTTCTCAGTTCATTCTTCTTGGATTTGTACATGTTACAGAGATATTATGCACGACTTTTCATGATTCTCCATCATGAATGTTTTCGAAGTGTTCTTAGCAAGGTGGATTAAAAACTATGATAATTACCTTATATGATAGGGAAATTATGAATTAGAGGGTTATTTCAAAAAGAGTCAATCCCTTCTGCAGCACCCCATTCCCATCCCCCAATCTGATAAATAAAGCAGAAGTGGAGTATAAAACAGTAGGTTGAGAATAATGTTTAAATGGATCATCACAGGTATCAAGAGAGAAGCGTACGAGACTTGCAGAGGTTTTGCTAAGGCAAGTAAATGCCTGGTTTCTTGAAGGAAGGCTGTTCTGTATGCAAGGACAGGGTGGGTAAAAAAGGTGTAGGGCTTCATGGAACTGTTTAATTAATTCAGAAAGCTGAACAAAGTCAATTTACATGGTTGAATGGCTGGTGATCTTGTGTATAATTTTCTAAGTTTTCAGTTTTTGGAACTGGAGGGCATAAAAGAAAAGCAGAGAACTGAAGAGGGGAGCAGTGAAAAAGTTATGGGTATTACTTTTTATGAGTATGTTAAATTATGGTTATGAAGACTTTCAGTGTAGTTTTTATTTGTTAGTTGGAGGCAAATACTTTATGGAATGCAGAACACATTCTTAAGGTAGTGAGTTTTTAATGAGGGTTTGTTTGGGTTTTTTTAACTGTATGATTATGGTGTATGACATGATTTCTTACTGGTCTGTTTATATTCCATATCAATACACTTAAATGCTTACCTAATGTGAGATTTAACTTTTGAATGTTCTTAAGTTCATAGATATCTTAATGTATATTTAAATTGCCTTCTGTATAAACTTTTAAACCAATTTATGTGTGTATTTTTTTTAATAGGCTGTTAAAAATGAAGTGAATGTGCCATGTTTGAAAAATTTTGTGGAGATGCTTTATCAGACTACCTTTGAACTGAGTTCAAGAAAGAAGCATTCGCTGGTATTTTAAAGAAATATTTCAATTTATCCATTTTGCTCATCTTAGACTTTTAAGCTAGTACATTATATGAGGAAAAGCTCACAGCTATATTAATTTAAATCTTAACTCCTCAGTTCAAGTATAATTCAGTTCACACTGTGTATGTGCATTTGCTCTAATTTTGATTTGTTTCTTTGTGCAAGATACGTGCTCTGTTATCTGATTTGTGGTTTTGATTATTTTAATGGGTTTGAGTACAGAGTTATTTAACCTAATGTCTGTTCTACGAAGAACTTGCATTCAGGGAATCTGTGTATTTAAATTACATTTAATTAAAAGATGGAAGTGTCAGACAAGCCTTATCCAGAAAAATAGCCTTTTAGTAGCCCTGCTCTGTTTTCTTCTCTCCTTATATACTTTGTTTTTCCAATTTTTTTAATGTCTTTCAGTTATAAATATCTGTGGTTGTTTGGTTGTTTTTTTTTCAGTTTTGTGTTTTGTTGGTTTTTTTTTTTTTCCCTAAGACTGCATCTTAGCAAGGATTTGAATCCCTTAGTAAATCAGTATTTGGTAAATTTTGATGGCCAGGGCAGTCATGTTTCAAGTTGATTAACTTTACTTTGCTGGAAATACAGAGCTAAATTTTGCATCACAATTGGCATATTCAGTAAATGCAAGTGAATTTAAAATTATTAACTCTCTCTTTCATATTAGGGACAAGGTTCACTTTATTGTGTTCTGAGCATATAAAGCATATGTCATTGTACATGCCTAAACACCTTATGTAAGAATAACATCGATGTTGGTGTTAGTATTCACAATGTCATTTTATTTATCAAGTCAGAAACGTTGTTACATCAAGATTATATTTTACCTGTTCATTCTCATTCTTCCATTTTGTTCCATAGCAAGATAATCTGCAGTCAGATTTGGTGTTAATCACCATTATGCATTCTGTTAAATTATGTGGTGTTTAAACAAATCTTATGTTACTAAGGCAAAGCAAAATCATGCTAGTGTGCATATTCAGACTTTAATAAGTTGTGCTTCGTTACTTACTAAAAGCAGACCTTGAGTGGAAGTAACATTTCTGACAACCTAAAGTCTCCCTTGGTTTTTACTGAGCTGATGAAGTTTTTCCTGAATAGTCTTCTTAGAAGCAGTTCCCTCTCCCATCATGTAGGACCTCATTAATTAAATCTTTTTTTAAAGAGTGAATATTGTACAGCAGGTGAGATCTGCTCTAAGTCATTATTTGAGATCAGGCCTTGCTAGGGGCTGAGCTTCACCATGGCCCACTGCCCTAGTCTGATGCCATGAGCTCTTAGGGCACATGGGTTATACCCAGGACACCACCATACCTGGTGTGTTGTGTCCTGGTGCAGGGGAAAGGCTGTCGTGCAATGCTGAAACTGTGGGAGTGAGAGACAAGAACTGCCTGTGTGTCTCATTCTCAGTGTACAAGACTAGGGAGGTCTGCAAAGAGCAACTTGATCAATTCTTTTTCCCCCCTACCCATAGGCTTTGTATCCATTGATCACCTGCCTGTTGTGTGTCAGTCAGAAACAGTTTTTTTTAAATAACTGGCACGTTTTCCTGCAGAACTGTTTGTCACATCTAAAGGTAAGAATCCTTTTCAGTTCAGGAACAAATCGGTAACATTTATTCCAGTATGTTCTCAGTATTCCTGTACCAAATAACCAATGATTAGTTGGCTGTTTAAAAGGACACTGTGAATTTTTTTTATTTTTTTTTTTTTTCCTAAATTCAATGTCTTAAGTCACCATTAGTACTAAACTTAGTAATAAGTTTCTGTGATACTGTGTAATGCTGGAAATAGATGTGACCTCCTTGGGGATTATCAGTTTTATTGAGTAAAATCTGCAGGAGAGGTATTTGCTAATAAACCCTATTCATGCCAGAGAAAGTACAAACTGTAATTTTTATGTGCAGAAAATAATTGGCTTGTCTACTTCTCCGAGTAGAATGTATAGTGAGTGCAAAATTTCTTTCATTCATTTATTGAAAGAATAAAAAATGAAGTTAGAATCCAGAAAAGACATCTTATCTACAGGACATGATATGTATTTTCCAAATAAATATTACAGTGTCCCTTTAACTCATAGCTTCTCTTGATTACATTATAAACACGAGTTGATTGTTAAAGTGATCAATGTACTTAGAAATGAGGGATTTGTTTCAGTGACATTCTTATAGCATTGATTGTTGTACTTGTTCTTTCCTAAATTTTGATTAACATAGTTCATGATTTTGCCTAATGTATTGATTTTGATAATTTTAATAAATTCTTTGATCCACCTTCACCATATTCATTCTGGTTAGGTATGAGTGACAGTTCTGAAGCTTATTAATAAAATATGTAAACCAACAAGGTTTAGCTGCTTGGATTGTTTTTTAAGGGTCATTTTGTTTTCATGACATCTTTCATACTTTCTGTTGCTTGTTGGGTTTTTGTATATTTTTCATCTAACATTGCAGTTCTTTTGCAATATTTGCCTTGATTTTTATTTTGTTGTTTGTTTTGCTTGTGAAGGCTGCTGCTGCTTTTGTTTTTAAAGCTTTTTTTTAAAAAAATGTACAATCTAGGAGTTGCGTTTTTCTGGCATATTGTCCATTGCTGATAATGGATGTATTAAAACTATAAATGCCAGCGAGTTTAACTGGTAGTTGCTGAGCATGCATTTTATATTTTACTTAGTTTTGTTAACCACTAACAGCTTAACACATTTAGCGTAAGGCTCTATTCAGCAGAAATTCTACAAATTAATTTCTGCAATTCTAATTTGCAGTGTTATGATGCTGTACCATCAATTAGTTATTTAATTATCTTTTATGGTTTAGGTTTATTTTGGCCCACCAAATACTATTGATTTTTTGGGTGTCTGCTTTGTTCAGAAACTTCATTGAGTTTAATCTTGAAAAACACCCCACTCCCACACCCCCTGTCCTCACGTGTCTTATGAATTAATGTGTTCTTGTGTTTCTGAAGCTAATTAAATGCATGCACTCTGTAATAAGTAATCTCATTAATTTATAAATCTGAATTTCACAGCAGTTTAGTCTTTCAGATTTCCCCATTTTGTTTCCTGATTTCCTAATGACTAGTTACTTACAGTTCCCTAAATATGTAATACACAATAAGGATTCCAAATCCTTTGTCTTAACGTCTTTGTTATTAAATAAAGTAATTTTGAGAGTTACTGGGAGATACTTTAGAGTGATGAAAAGGTTAATCCACCCCTACTGTATTGGTTAAATTTAACAAATTAACGATTGAAATAACACCACTTAGAGTCTGTCACAGGGATGTTATCTGAAGAATACAGGCCCTGTAGCAAGTTGCCAAGAGGTGACATGGGTCACAGATTCATGGTGTTCACATTATTCCCTGGTGACTGCCCAGTGCAAACTTACCTAGCAGAGAGCTCCATGTGGTCACAGCTTGGTGACAGAAAAAGGCAACTTCCCATTTGCCACGGTGTGAAGTCTCACGACTTTACAGTTGCTCCACACTACCTGATGCACAGTGTATTCATACCATGCCTTACCATGCAATATTTCGGTGCTACACTGGACTTTTAATTCCCCCGAGAGCACTCTGAATCCTGGTCCAGTACTAGCAGTATTTACTGCATTTGTAAACTTTTTGTCATAGTATCATACAATGTTAGGGGTTGGAAGGGACCTCTGGAGACCATCGAGCCCAACCCCCCTGCCAGAGCAGGTCTAGGGCAGGTCACACAGGAACACATCCCAGACGGGTCTTAAAAGTCTCCAAGGAAGGAGACTCCACAACCTCCCTGGGGAGCCTGTTCCAGTGCTCTGTAACCCTTACAGTAAAGAATGCTCCCTCATGTTGAGGTGGAACTACTGAGTTTCAGTGCACACTACATTTAGTTGTCCTCAAAACAGGCTTATTGCTTGGGGAAGATACCCTAGCCTTGCTGAAAGGAAGAAGCCTAGGGGTCTGGGGTGATGCAGTTGTCGGATAGATGAATTTTAAGAGTCAGTTCAGCCCAGGAGTGCACCACAGGTGGTTTCTCAGCGTATGTATAGCTGGCCTTGTCCCACAGAGGTTGGGATGTTGTTCAGCAATGAGCCCAGCTGAGCATTTCTTTACATGCTGGAGTGTAGGCAAAATATGAACTTGCTTAGCAAACCATAACGCTGGGTCAGTATTGTAAAACATTTTGCTTACTTTTTTGACTAGTGTTTAGACAAAGTCTAGTAGGGTTGTCAGAAAGCTGGAAGATTCTCTAATGAAGACGAGTTGTTGTGATATCCTTACCAGCTCTTCTGGGGAGAGGAAGGTTCATTTAAGAACACTGCTAAAATGGGAGAGAAAAGTGTCTTATCATTCTGCACTACTGTTGGGTAGAAAAGAATAATTTTTTCGCACAGTTTAACCATGGTGTCTGTTACTGCAAAACGTTGAACACTGGGAGAATGTTTTCTGCCACTATAGACAAACCTTTATTTCTACTGAATAGAGTCCTTACTAGACAGCTATCTGTTGGTTTTGTGCTTTTTTTTTTCACCTAACATGCATGTGCCTTCCATTCTCATGTTTGTTATGTTTTGCTGTCTCACATTGCTTTATTTAGATGCCATCTAACAACAGTATCAGAAAACAAATAGAAACACTGCAGGTGAGTTAATACGTTGTTGTAACTCAGTGAAATGTTGCTTTGTCTCATGTAAATACTTCGGTTTGGGTTTTTTTTATGTTAATTGTTGTATTTTGTGCTTTCCTTTCTTTGTAAAATTCCTGTTAGTACTGTTAAAAAGCAAGAGGGCTAAGAATAGCTAATGTTTCAAAGATCTTTTTTTCTTGCTAGGGAGTAAAGGAGAAAGATCAGAAAACTATGTAATATCAGTATTTCCTTTTGGGTGATAATGTGGCTTTCTGAGATTGAGTATTAATATCACTGAATATCAGTGCATGTTTCCACTGGAAAGTAAACTACCTCTTCAGGTGTATGGTTTTTTTCTGTTAATTCATTTCAAAAAGTGTCTTGCATGCAAGCAAACTTGAAAAGATTTTCACAGTAAAAAATGTGAAACTGATTTACTGTAACAATTTGCAGTGCACTAACTTGAAAGACTTTTACACTGTTGGTTTTGCAGGTTTTAAAAAGTAGAAATTGTTTTAGTTCAGAACAGAAGAAAAGTTTAACATCAGTGTTAAAAAGTACTTTCTTCAGTAAGTGACTACATTTGACTAACATGGAAAAAATGCTCGTTTGTTTCTTGCCTTCATTAAGATATGTTTCATTGACTCATCTTAATGTGTCATGTAAGACCACTGTAGAATTGCTCTTAATTTTTTGTTCTTGTAACAGAGGTGCAGTTCTTGACATCTTATTCCATAGTCTGACAATACAAATTACGTTAACAGTTGTAGGATTTTAAACAAAACTCACGTAGAGTACTTTAAAATCAGTCAGATAACAGCTAAAAAGATTGAAATTGAGCCAGACTGGTGAATTATACAGCCATATATACTGTATTCTAGTTGCAGCAATCTCAAAGAAAAAAGGAAGTACTGATGCATTAACACCAAGTATACAAGAACCGTGCCATAAATGAGACTCAAAAAGCCATTTTATTCTAGTGCATTTGTTTAGTTCTAGTTATAGGAAGAGATAATAGATACATTTATTTTGTATCTCTTGAAGTGATGAATGCCTTTTTATACGTTCTTTTTTTTTAACAAAGGAGCAAACTTTGGCATAACTAATCAGAAGTAGCTATGCTGGATGTTAAATCTCCTAAAAGATGGAATGTTGTTAATACATTGTAAAGTATCTGCTACCTATACCAGTTTTTTCGTTATATGATTGAAAGCCAATAATAAATTTTTGGGTTTTTTTCTGGACCTATAAATTAAGCTCCAAATATCAGAAATAAGAAAATTAAAGCATTACTCCGTTCTGGACTGACTTCTCCAGCCTACCTTGAACATCAAGAACTGTTGGCCTGTAGTTTAAATATGATGAGTAGTAACATCATGGCTTTTTGCTGTTTAAGTTGATTAAAATCAAAGCTATCACAGTTTCACCCTTTTGTACAATTTTAAGCATTTGCCTCTCCCTCACAGTAGCACTGCTGGTGAATTAGCTGGACAGTGGGACAGTTATCTGTCTGAATGCTAACCAGGGGCAGGTGTAACTTTTTACTGGTTAGATTTTGTCTAGATCAGCCTCCTAAATTTACCCACTGCCTAGTTGCAGGTTTGCTAATTCAGAGGTGATGGCAGGAACTCATTGCTGAGTGTGAAGGGAGGATAGAGCAGCACCATCTCTCATGTAGACTGATTTAAGTTATTACCTCAAATATTCTGATAAACAGTCATGTATGTTATTTGTCTGTGAAGAACCACTTGCACCTCTGTGATTTTGTGACAAAGTTTTAGCCTTTCATAAAGTAAGCTGCTGCCAAAAACCAATAGTCCCAACCCACTCATGTTAAAGCCATCCAAATTACTTTCCATTGTATAGTTTAGATCAACTTACTGGTGTAAGTTGGACAATGCAAAGGGAACAGGGAGATTGTGGAGGAGGGAACCAAGGTTGAGACCATCTTTTTTGGAACAGTGTGGTCTTAGATTGACTTACACCCTTTGCAAAATTGCTCACCACTTGTTCTGGGAAGACAAAATAGTCTGCTCTTCTGACTTGCTGGCTTGTGGTAGAGGCCACAAAATGTGAAATTGGTTAGATTCAAGCCATCATATTGATATCCCTCGAAACTGAAGGACTTCCCTGGAGATGAGGAAGATGTTCTTTGGGGTTCTTCTGCTGTTTCTTTTCAGTTGTTGTTTTTGTCTGATTTTTTTTTGTGTTTAACTGAATGAATGCCTAAAAACATGACTTCTGGGAATTATTTATTCTGTTCATAAGCTTGTACTTATGGCCAATTCAAAGAATCTCACTGGACATTTTAAGATTATGAGTGCAGCCAGAATCCCTAGTTGGAAAAGGGATTGCTGGAGTTGGTACGAAGAATGTTAGTTAGTTACTGTTTTACACAGTTTAAGAGTTAGGAGGAGCAAAGCTAAACTCCCAGTAGCAGCTTTAAGATAAAAAAAATCTGGGTTTTATACAATGCTTAATTTAAACTGAATTATGCCACAAGATTTTATATTAATTCAGGAAAAATCTATCTTAATGGATACAAGTCCATTGTAAGTGAGTCAACACTAACACAGCCTACAGGAAACGGCTAAGCTGGGTGAAGCCTGGAGTGCACACCTGGGAAGCATCCTTCTGTGCCTGGCCTGTTTTGCATTCTTTTCTTCTTCTGCTGCTTTCTGCTGTCATAAACTGAATGGTCAACTTAGACTTTGTGCCTGATCCAAAGCAGCTACTCCAGTGTTTTAGACAAACTATATTAGTTTGCTATAAAGTAGGTATTTGTAACTAGTGGCTTCCTGAGAAAAGTTCTTAGAAGTAATGTACTCTTGGTGTTCATCTCAAGAAGAATATCTGCTTTTTAGTTACTCCTCTGGTCTCAGAGTGACAGACGTGTGAAATAATCTGGAATTACTAGTTAAATATTCAGGTAGTATCGGAAATGTACAACATAGGATTGTCTTCATGGAAATGTGTTAAAACTTGCAGCCAATATTAAAGACATCAGTTTTCATTGTTAAAAACATTTGAAAATGTTCTCAGAAATCAAAAGAGTAACAATAGAATCTTCTGAGAGTCTCTAAGGCAACAGTAACTGTATTTTTCATTTATTTTACAGAATAAAGATCCCAAAATGTCTCGAGTTGCACTGGAATCTTTGTATAGGTTATTGTGGGTTTATGTTATTAGAATAAAATGTGAAAGCAACACTGTAACTCAAAGGTAAGTTCATTATGCAAAGGATTTGAAACTATTGATTGGTGGTTTTTTTCCCCTACCTAGTTATATCAGAAGAGATCTTGAAGCCAGCTCAGGGATGGTCTAGTCAGGTAAAAAGAGGAACAGAGACTTCATCTTAATGGACAAAATAGAGAAAAAGAACTTAATTAATTTGAGGAGAAAGAATAGAACCTACATTTGTTTTTGCAGGGATGGAAGAGAGTGGAGGGGTAAGAAGCAGGAAATTTATTAAAGTTAAAAGGCACTCACGATACCAGAACATACAGAGTATCAAGTGGCCATCACCAAATATGGGCTGGAAGTAAATGGGTTTTCTTTATAAATTAGCATCATGAGAATTTGGAATAGCAATTCAGATTTTGCCCCTCTTCCTGACTATTGCTAACTACTTCAAAACAGGGTTTTGGGCATGTTATAAATGGAACCCAAGTTACTGTTAGCTGTGACAGAGGCCTGTACTTTCTGTAGGTTATTCTACCTTTCATATGTTTCTGTATTTAGTAGTAACCCTCCTACACTCTTCCAGATTTGAACTGAAACATCTATGCTATTACAAAACATTCTTCTTAAAAGTTTTTTTATTTTCATTTGTTTTTATTTTTTAAATTCTTGTAGCCGTCTCATGAGCATTGTATCAGCACTTTTTCCAAAAGGATCACGTAGTGTGGTCCCACGAGACACACCTCTGAATATATTTGTGAAGATTATTCAGTTCATTGCTCAGGTAAGAATACGTCTAGGTAGAGCTATAAGAATAGGATGAATGTTATTTTGAATAAATTTAAATTTAAGGTTAGTTTATGAAATTGTTGCACTGAATTAATGGTCTTACATATTGAGTAGAATTTCCCTGAATATGTATAACGAATGAAGTAATTGATTCAGGGGACATCAGGGGTCACAAGAAACTTTTACAGGCATGTCAGTGATAAAAGGAAGGCTAGGGAAGATGTGGGCCCTCTCCAGAAGGAAGCAGGAGACAAGGGATATGGAGAAGGCTGAGGTACTCAATGGTTTCTTTGCCTCAGTCTTCACTGACAAGGGCTCTACCCATACCACCCAAGTTGCAGAAAACAAAGGCAGGGAATGGGAGAAGGAAGATCTACCCATCTTACAAGTGAAGATCAGTTTTGAGACCTGAAGGTGTACAAGTCTGTGGGACCCAATGAGATTAATTTGTGGGTCTTGAGGGAATCAGTGGATAAAGTTGCTAAGCCACTTTCCATCATGTTCGAAAAGTCACAGCAGTCTGGAGAAGTTCCCAATAACTGGAAAACGGGAAACATAACCCCCATTTTCAAAAAGGGAAGAAAGGAAGATCCAGGCAACTGCAGGGCAGTCAGTCCTACCTTTGTGCCTGGCAAGACCATGGAGCAGGTCCTCCTGAAGGCTCTGCTAAGGCACATGGAAGATGAGGTGATTGCTGGCAACCAACATGGCTTCACTAAAACCAAATTGTGCCTGACAAATATGGTAGCCTTTTGCAATGGAGTTATAGCATCCATGGATAAGGGAAGAACAACTGACATCATCTGCCTGGACTTGGGCAAGGAACTTGACACTGTTCTGCACGACACCCTGGTCTCTAAATCAAAGAGACATGGATTTGATGGATGGACCATTGAAATTAGCTGATTGGTCACACTCTTAACAGTTGTTGTCAACCACTCAGTGCCCAAATAGAGACCAGTGGCAAGTGGTGTTCCTCAGGGATCAGTACTGGGACCACTGGTGCTTAACATCTTTGTTGATAACATAGACAGTGGCATTGAGTGCACCCTCTGCAAGTTTCCAGCCAACACCAAGCTGTGTGGTGCAGTTGACACACTGAAGGGAAGGGAGGCCATCCAGAGGGACCTTGACAGGCTGGAGAGGTGTGCCCATGCCAGCCTCCTGAAGTTCAAAAGGGCCAAGTGCAAGGCCCGACAGCTGGGGTTGGGGCAGTCCTAAGCACAAATACAGGCTGGGTAGAGTATGGATTGAGAGCAGTCCTGAGGAGATTGGGGGTGCTGGTTGGTTAGAAGGTCAAGATGAGCCAACAATGTGTAATTACAGCCCGGAAAGCCAGCTGTATCCTGGGCTGCATCAAAAGAAGCATGGCCAACAGGTTGAGGGTGGCAGTTCTACTATTGACAAAGTTATTTTACTTGAACTTCAGTAAGTGGTGTGTATGAACATTATTAATATTTACATTTGTGTAATTATTTTTTTTTACTAATTTTTAGTTATCTAAAATAGTTCAGCTTGTTTGTAGAAATATGTTTGAACCGAGCAGAATTGTGTGGGAATTTTTTTAGGAGAAATGGTTCAGCCATACCAGGGGATGAGCTATATTGAATTGTAATATATTTTTAAAAGAACATTAAGTCATAAAAAAGTCATAAGGAAAAAGGAATATTTTTAAAACTTTATTTTAAAAAACTTTTAAGATGTAATACCCAGCACCTGTGTAAAGACAAGAAATTAAACTATGTATATTAACAGAAAAGAGTTTATCATATCTGTTTGTTTTCCTTTATAGGAACGTTTGGATTTTGCAATGAAAGAAATAATATTTGATCTTCTTAGTGTTGGAAAATCACCTAAAACCTTCACTATTAATCCAGAGGTAAAAAAGGCTCATTACCTGCATGCAGCAAGAGCAGGCCATTGGGAGATTTTTGAGGGGAAAGTGGTTAACTCTTTTGGAGCCAAAATGAAAGCAGATTAATGAATGTTTGAAGGAGTGGTCTGCTAAAACTAAAGTAGTTGTAGTCAGGCACAATTGCTGTTTCATTTCTGGTGAGTAAGCTAGCAGCTCATTTCCACAATAATTTCAGTAAGTGTGTGTGGATTTTTGTTACAGTATAACTGTAAGGCCTTTTTTCAGGGAAGTCATACCTAGCTCTTATGGTTCAAGGACAAATCTAACAGATGAGATACTTAGGCTGTGTCTGTCTTCAGTATGTCGTTCTTGAGATTCATCTTAAGTCTTTAGTGCTCTGTACTATAAAATATTCATTATTAGCCTGTGCCAGGTCAGTTAACTGCAATCAGAGTTTCAAGGAGGCACTGAAGGCTTGAACTTTATTCTTGCTACTTTCATTACCTTAATAATGTAACAAATAGTGCCTGTCCCACTGGAACCATCCTGATGCCTATTTAAAGAGAGGGAAAATGCAATCCATGTTTTGCCTCATCTGTGTTACTTTATTATTTCTGTGGTTTTCTCTTTCCTTTTTTGCTATTGAAGAGAATGAATATCGGCCTCAGAGTCTTCCTTGTTATAGCAGACAGCTTGCAGCAGAAAGATGGTGAACCACCAATGCCAACAACAGGGGTTGTCCTTCCCTCAGGAAATACTCTGCGTGTGAAGAAAATTTTTCTTAATAAAACGCTGACGGATGAGGAAGCAAAAGTTATAGGTATCTTGTATTCTTTTCTAAGTTGGCATTCCAGTATGTCTGTTTATATGTTCTCTATTATTCTCAAGCAGTACATTTGTGTACTTTTATTTCTGTATTTATTTTAATTGCTACTGAGAATCTGATGATGGTCTGTTTTATCAGAATTGATTTCTGCTAGACAATATTGACCTTCTGCTGTCCAAGACCAAATCCATGGCTTTTTTTTTTTAAAGTGTTTTGTGCTGCTGAATTAGCATAAAGAAGCTGAGCCTGAGTGCAATTGGTGTGGTAAATAACATGGCAGGTTTTGTTCCCTTGATGTCACTCTGAAATCTCCCCAATGTCTCACAGCTGAAGTAGAGTAAGACAATTTTGATCCCTGTGCTTTACTCATCTTCTCTGGATGAGGTGGTTGTCTCTAAAGCACTGTTTCAACGTGTAAAATTTAAACTAGAACTAAAATACTCAGAATTGGGGAAACAGAAGAGCAACTAGTGACTGCTTTGTTGTTTATGTTCTTTCTGAAAGAAACTTCTAATTTCATATTATACCTCCTACTGTTCATTTAACATGCATTTCTTTTGACATTTAAACTGCGTTTCATGTCATCTTTTGTCAAAGAAGAAATTTGTCCTAAGCTGAAGAAGTGGCAAATCTTTTAATAAAAATGTGAAAATTAAATTAGAATAAATGAGAGAGGTGATCAGAACTCTTTGGCTTTTCAGGAATGTCCATATACTACCCTCAAGTCAGAAAAGCACTAGATAGCATTCTTAGGCATTTGGACAAAGAAGTTGGAAGGCCCATGTGCATGACTAGTGTGCAGATGTCCAATAAAGAACCTGAAGACATGATTACGTACGTACTGAATTTTCACTGTATTTTCATTGACACACATTTGTTGTATTATTTTTATGCTGCAATATTGTGGATAACATCGTTAATGCATTACAGTGGTTGGCTTTTTACTTGACTATTAAATAAATGCTAATTTCATTAATTAATGATAAAACTTTTGTTACCTCCTTAGTTTTTGATATGAAATTGAAAATACTTGTGATGTGCTGAAATAGATTTTTCTCTTGTTTTGTTGGTTATAAATTGTAGGGGTGAAAGAAAACCTAAGATAGATCTATTCAGAACTTGTATTGCTGCTATCCCAAGACTGATTCCAGATGGCATGAGCAGGACTGACCTCATTGAATTGCTTGCAAGGTAAGGGAAATGGAGTGATGCTCTTGGTGGATGTCCCTTTTTAAATGCTGTGTGTGTAGGACTTTGTCAGTGCACTATGTAATATAAGTCCGCTGCATACAAAATCCATTCTTCCTGTCCCTGCTGATGTGCTGCAGTTGGTCAAGTGTTAGTGGCCAGAGTAGCAGGAGGTAAATTTATCCTGAGGATGTTGAATTTATTTTTAGAGAAAAGTTTTTGAAAGTAAGAAATTATTTCTATTGCTTTGTTTTTTGAACTGGTCTTATCTTTTAGTTACTACTATCATAGTTCCCCCCACACCCCATTTTGTTTGGGTTTTTTAAAAATTTTTTCTTCTTATTGCTAGTACTGTAAATTGTCATAAAGGCATTCTTGTTTGTCGTTACCAAAATGTGAGACAGGTGCTTACAGGAAACTTTTTTTTTTTCCTTATTCTCTACTAATCCTACTTCCTTTTTCCCCTTTTTTTATCCAAACCTATCCATATTCTTCCATCTGTTATCTCAGTTTAAATTGCATGTGCCTTATGAATACTGATAAGTTGTTGAGACAACAGGACAGCCAATGTTTGCAGATGGTTGAACTGAGCATTCAGTGAGAATTTGTAATTGTGGTACATGCAGACAGTCTGTACATATTCCTAGAGTGATAAACCACCTGCTTTTTAAGATTTTTAATGTAAGAATGGTCTTGGTCCAGGAATACACAGTAGCTTTTTGCTTTGAAATTATAAATTCACTTGCATAAAATGTGTTGTTATATATACTAAAACATTAGTAATAATGTGAGCGAATAATATTTTTCTAACACTTGAGTGTCAAAAATCACACAAAAGACTCACAGTATTAAGTAATAATAGAATACTGAAAAAGCTTCTTCTACCATAGCAGACTGAGACGTTTTTAAGTATATATGCAAAGGGCCTTTTTTGGTGAGTTTTCTCTTGCATCCAAAGTAAAATAGCTTTACCTGCAAAAAGAATGTTCTTTTCAATTTCAGTTTGAAGAAAATAATACATACATCACAAGGTGCCTGCCTACTGAGCTTTAAGTGGATTACTCAGATGCATGCAGAGATGTGTCTATGTGAAAGACTTCACCATCTCTCTTGAAAATTATTAGTTTATATTAAGTTTGGTGAAATCTTGCAGTCTTTTGCTATAGTAATATCACCTTCTACTAGCAGCCACTTTCAGATGGATTCAGTGCAGGAAATGCATCTCTGTGGATATATTCTCTATTGTACAGTTAAAAAGGAAGAGTTAACACCCAACTTTATTTTATAAAAGCTGGTTAAGAGTGTGCCAATCGAGGGTGATGATACTGGTATTTTCTCTAAACAGGCTGACAATTCATATGGATGAAGAACTTCGTGCCTTGGCTTTCAATACTCTCCAAGCATTAATGCTTGATTTTCCAGATTGGCGGGAAGATGTACTTTCAGGATTTGTATATTTTATTGTGCGTGAAGTGACTGATGTCCACCCAACCCTTCTTGACAATGCAGTAAAAATGCTAGTGCAGCTCATAAATCAGTGGAAACAAGCAGCCCAAATGCACAATAAAAACCAAGAGTCTCAGGTATTTCTGACTAAGGTCCTTTGATATTAAAATGTGGTTTGAATCTACATGCAATTTTGTTAGTAAGCTTTATTGGTTAAGTAGTAACAACTCAGCTTACTTTCTTAAAGTGCATGACAATCTTTAGGCTATTATTTTAAATCAGCTTTTTTTCCAAAAAATTACTTTAATATTATTAAGCATTACCTAAACACTAATTCATGGCCACATTTTTACTTACGTCAAAAGCCATCATGTGTAACTGGAACTATTAAGCAGGAGTGGTTGAACAGTAGAACAGCACCATTTTTCACTAGCAAACAGAAAGGGTTCAGATAATTCAATTTTATACAGTCCTATGTTTAAGAATATTATTTATTTATTATTTTACTTTCACTGCAGCATCGTGATGAGAAAGTGAAATGAGAAAGATTATTGTGATATTTGTGTGGACCGCATTCAGAAAGATAATTAAAAAAAACAAAAGTAGCTGATGCTATGTCATTCTCATAATGCAGAATTTGACCAGTAGTCAAACAAGACCTAAATACTTTATGATTAATTCTGCCATTGCCAGTAATGGAGCTATAGCTTGGTTGTTTTCACTTTTTTTCTTAATTTGCTTAACTTCTGTGATCTTTTTCTTAGCGTGGGGTATCCAATGGGGCTGCCCATACCCTTCCTCTGGAGAGGACTCTTTATTCAAGTGTATTTCACGTAGTGGAAGGCTTTGCTTTGGTCATCCTTTGCAGCACAAGGCCTGCCACTAGGAGGTTAGCTGTCAGCGTTCTCAGAGAAATAAGGGCCTTGTTCACACTTCTAGAAGTTTCTAAGGTAAGAGTTGATAACCCATTCTTGTGACTGCGTAATGAAATTGCTTTTATCTTGACTTTCCTTGAGCTTTTTATGCTTTGTTTTGTCTTTTGTAGACTGATGACGAGTTGGCTATAGATGTAATGGACAGACTAAGTGCTACTATCCTGGAGAGTTTCATACATCTCACTGGGGCTGACCAGGTAGGAGAGTTTTTATGTTAAGTTGGATGTAACATGAGGTAATCCTGCAAAACTGTCGACATAAACTGTATAAAATGATTGTGTCACTATGTTTGTGGTAACTTTATCAACAATTTATCACCTTAAAAAAAATTATCAAGCAATAAAACTCAAATAAACAGTAAAAAACCCAAGCTCAAAAAACTTTGAGGAATGTTGTGAGGATGACATGACCACTGTAAGCTTTCTGATCAATAGTGTGTCATTATGACTATTATATACACATAGAGAGCAATATCTATATCTACTTTTTCTCATCTTGCTCATAGATTACAATTTCTTTGAAGCAAAGACCACTGCTTTTTCTGCAGCGATACAGTGTTTTTAACAGCCTATGTGTCTTTATTTGAGATAAAAGCTATAATAACTATCAATAAATAACTACTGAACTCCATATTTATGTATTTATCATTAAGTATCAAAGAAAAACTTTTCTGATTTTATGTTTAAGAAACAAGTTGGAATCCAGTAGTAAGGTTTGTAGAGTCCCGAATCTTACGGAAGAATTAATTCATCGTGAGTAAAAGGGTATTCTCTAGAATCTGTTATTTTCTGATCTACAGTTCCTTCCAAACCAGCATGTTTATATAACTGTCTATGTTAGAAACTTCTGTTTAAAAAAAAAAAAAAAAAATTAAATAATGTGTTTTATTTATTCCAAATGTGGTTTTGATACCAGTACTTTATTAGGTATTTAACAATGAAGAAATTGTTGCCCAATATACGTGGGTATTAAATATTGCCTTGTTCTCTTTTTTTTTATGCAAACAGACTACTTTACTGTACTGTCCCAGTTCAATAGATTTACAGACTCTGGCTGACTGGAATTCCTCACCAATCAGCCACCAGTTTGATGTGGTCAGTCCATCACATATATGGATATTTGCACATGTAACTCAAGGCCAAGATCCGTGGATTATAAGCCTCTCAAGTTTTATGAAACAGGAAAATCTTCCAAAACACTGCCCAACAGCTGTAAGCTATGCTTGGACGTTTGCTTATACCAGACTCCAAATGCTGTCTCCACAAGTAGATATAAAGTAAGTTAATTTCTAAAGTAAATGCAGCGTTTCATATTGGGTATTCTTTCAAGATTTTCAGTGAGGTGATATACAGACTGTTAATATTTTCTCTGGGTTTAATTCAGCTTTCTATAACAAATTTAAGCTATTGTATCTGGAAAAAAAAGTTACGTGCTATAAAGATTAATTCATACCTTCAGCAATAATTCATACCTTCAGTTCAACAGATTCAACTATAAAAGCAAACATTATTGATGCGTAGGCCTATACTGAACAATTTTTTCTGAGTTTACCACTTCAACAATTTTGAAAGCAATGGCATATACCTAATTGAAAAATAAATTCTGTAGAAAAAGTGAAACCTGATAAGCTTGATTTGCTATACTGAGCTGTTTTTTTTTTCTTTCTTTTTTTTTTTTCTTTTTTTCAATAGCAGCCCTATTAATGCAAAAAAAGTGAATACTACTACAAGCAGTGACTCCTATATTGGGCTCTGGAGAAACTACCTGATTCTTTGCTGCAGTGCAGCATCTTCTTCAAACTCCTCCACCTCCACAGGTTCTGTGAGATGTTCCCCTCCTGAGACGCTGGCGTCCACTCCTGACAGTGGTTATAGCATTGATTCAAGAGTAGGTTTTTCTAATACTTACTGTGAATAAGTCTAGATGTTATTGGAAGTAGAAACACTTGAGGCTTATAATAACTATAATAATTCTTAGAAACTGATGCAATTTTTCTGAAAACATGTTTTAGTATATATTGGTTTCATTTTTTTTTTTTAGGATAAAGCTTCTGTTTGCTTCTTCCATTCAGTGCTGTAGAGGCTTTTCTGCTTGTGTTTTTTAAGGGAAAATATAAACATGTCATGAAAATATTAACCCAGTCTCAAAGTCTTATCTAGTGGTTATGAGGAAATGTTTTCTTAATTGTTAATGGGAGTGGGGATTGCTGTCAGTAGAATTCTGCAATTCTGAGCAGATAGCCTCTCACTTCAGTAACTGAAACAGTGACCTATTCAGGCATGATGTACCTTGTTCTATTTTTCCCAACCACAGTTAGTTTTCTGTATGCTTTAGTTTATATCACCTGCAGACTTCCCCTCTCCCCCAGAACCCTCCCTTTTCCTTTTTGGCTTCCTGTAGAAGGTACAGTAGAGAACATAACTCATGGGCTATACAGCAGATTTCTGGCAGAAGTAGTCTATTCCACATGTTAACTACCAAGATCCTTTCCCTAAATCTGAGAAACTGTAGACTTGAAAGCTTTATCTTTGAGAGCCACAATAGAGTCTAAGGAGTTGGACACCAGAAATCTGCTTCCTCTAAGTAGGGCAGATACAATAAACATGCATTTAGAGCAAAAGTAGTAAATACTACTTTACTATTTCAGAAAGTCTTTTCTACATCACAAATTAAAAAAAAAAAAAAATTGTATAATTTTAAGTCACTGATCAGTATATGAAAACTAAAATTACAGCATTTGATTTAATGTCACGCCAATTGATTGTTTGGTAATTTCTTCATTCTCTTTTACTTTGGTTTTCTTCTTAGATCATTGGCATTCCATCCCCTTCCTCCCTGTTTAAGCACATAGTTCCAATGATGCGCTCTGAGAGCATGGAAATTACAGAATCCCTTGTGCTGGGACTTGGCAGGACCAACCCAGGAGCTTTTAGGTAACTATTGCTTCATTTGGTTTTGTGCCAATTGATTACAAAGCTGGGAAATCAGCTCAGAAAAAGAGATTTGCTTATTTTTTCTATTAAGAATTTTAACAGCTGTGAAAACTGATTACCATTGTCTTTTCTAGGATTTAGTGGTGCTGATAAATATTGTTAGAGATTGAAATAATTTTATGCAGAGGTCAAGTCTGCATAAAGAAAAAGAAGGTAGTTGAAACAGTAAACAGGTGCCTTTTGTTGATACTAAAGGCTGCCCTTATATGAAATAACAGGCTGTGGATTATTAACATATGAAATATTATAATCTTGTTTGCAAAAATTACTGAACTCTGCTTATTGGTTTTGGCAACAAACATGTTTCTGAGCTCTTTGTGTGTAAGATTTTTGTAATTGTATTCTAAGAAGAGATTTTTTTTTTTTTTTTTATCAAGCTGAAAAAACTTTCCAGTTACAACTGTTTTCTGACTAGTGCTGAAGCCTCTGAAATTTCTGTCACACTTCCCTCCCCCTTTTTCTTTTCATTGAGTAAACTTCCTGCAACTTCATAACTAATAGACCTTTCTTACACATTGTACTGATGACAAATATCCCTGTGGGTTAGTTTGAGCACTGGTAGTTGTTATCTACTGTAGCAGAATTAAATCTGTGTCAAGTCACTTGTTCTGTCAGTTTAATTTCATATATCATGTTCAGAATATCTGGATTCAGTTCATAATCCAAAAATTTTGATTACCTTATTGTGACAAGTCTTTATATAAATGTGGAATTCAGAATGGCCTATCAAGCCATCATGGCATCCCTGCCTCTTCTGCTGACAGCTTGCAGAAATTGACTAGGAAATAACAGGCAGACCAGCAGCCAGACTCCTCCCTCTGCTACCACATCACACACCAGAGATTCAAAGTGCCACACAACCAGAGGGAGGAACAAGTTGATGCACTCACTCACTGTGAAGGACGTGAAGAAGGGAGCAAGCTGGCCAAGGAGCCAGGCCATGGGAGATGGAACTGGCCAGATGATGAGTCCAATCAAGCAGTAGTTTCCCAGATAGAGACTCATTCTTCTCCCCACCATCCTGGGAACTCCAATTAGTATGTACAGTCAGGGAACCTTTCCAACAACCAGAACCCTCACACAGCTCATGCACTGTGTAGGCAAACCTCCCAACTCCACTGCAATCGGAGCTCATATAGAGGTGGCTTTTTGCCCCACCTCCAAGTTACTGTGGAAAACAGGGGCACCTGGTGGTGATCTACTAATCAGTTGCCACCCACCGCTGGCCAGACCCTGGGTGAAAACCAGTCAGGAGGGTCTTTCTTGCCTGGTTGTGGACATCCATATCCCCACCCTCTTTCAGGGCTGGGGCTTTAAACCCCAGCACTTGAAATTTACTTTTCTTCAGATCCTAATGTACTGTACTGTTGATGTGTGTTACAAATCCACTGAGGTTTACCAGCTCTATGCTAGGAAGCCATGAGATTTCAAGTGCGTCTCTCTGCTGTCTTCAACTGACAGCTCTCTCCTGATTGAGGATGGATGGAGAGGGAGAATATCTGAGGGGAAAAAAACTTCCTGTGAAGGGTGGTCAGCATCAGATGTTCTCTGACAGGTGTCAGCCTCTTATAATAGAGAGTTATGAAGTTGTGCCCTGCTATAGCAAACAACTCGGCTTCTTCAGAAGAAACCAAGGATCCACTTAACACTCTTGATTTTGAATGAGATGCTTCTCTCCAATCACTCATGACCCATATTATGGCAGATGAGGAGCCAAAGTTGTATTTGAAACCATAATGCCAAGTACTCAGTTACACTATTGTATTTTGCTCCTTTGATAATCTTCTAATTTTATATCTTATCTGACTTTACACTCCTACTAGGAGTAAAGCTTTTTTTCTCTGTCCAGTGTGCATACTCACAGCAGGTGCTAGCTGTAGCCCAGCCTACACTATTGTAGCTCTGCGTGGATTTGTTATTTTGTTTTTTTCTTAAGCACTTTACCATGCTTAAGGCTCATGTAATTCAGTGCACTGCAGAAGTTTTTGCAGCTTCCTGATCACCTGGACCTATTCTCTGGGGAACCACTGAATGATGCAGCAGAGGGGACAGTCATTTACCATGAAAACTTGAAGAGGGTTATGCTTTTGACACGGCTGAATTGCAATAGCTCAGGAAGTAGAAAAAAATGTGTCACACACCAACAAACCTGAAGTGGAGGTGGCAGTTACTTATGTTAACAAATATTAAGGTAAAACCCATATGTTTTTACCTTGGTATTTTGTCTACACAGATCCATACTACTGCTCTCCTTCCCCTTTCCTTGCCTTCTTTTTGGAGTCGTTAAGAGAGTCTTAGATTGGCAGAAGGAACTGAGGAGTAATAAAGTCTGTGGAGCTTCAAAACAAATAGGGAATGTAACCAAAGCGTGCTGTTTTCAGTTCCCATAGAGACTACTCTGACTTCTGTCAGCATAATGTTATCTGCCTTAAAGAAACAATCCTTATTAACAGCTAAATGCATCAGGACAACTGAAAGAGCATTGTATGATAAGTGCCCAACATCTTTTTTTCTTTGCTAATAGTGTCTATTTGTATCATAAGGCTTTCTTAAAGCCTGAACATGAAAATAAATGAAAACCATCTGTGATGCCATAATACTTGGTGTATGCAAAATTTGTGGTAATTGAGACATCAGTGTGGTAGTCTGTCTTTACATTAGGAGAACATCTTTCTAGGAAACATCTCTTAAATGCTGATTTGTTTCAGAAGGCTACAGGTAAAGAAGGAAAACCTGAGAGTGCCTTTACTTATAATATAATACTTGCTGTGAAACACCTTTCAGTTGAGTTGTTGGTGTAATGGTTGTTTCTATCCCTTTGATTTTTTTCTCTCTCAATTCAGGGAACTAATAGAAGAATTACATCCTATAATTAAGGAAGCACTTGAAAGAAGGCCAGAGGTAATTTGGTATCTTCTAATATATTCAGTACACAGTTTTAACTGTTATCTCACAAATGGTAGTAAAGACATGTTAGTTACATTCTTTCCTTTCTGCACCTGAAAACTGTCAGTATACCAGATAAAAAGGTGAGGTGTTACTTTTTAAAATGATTGTGTGGTCTTCACATTAGAAGAGCTTTGTGTTTGTTTTGAACTCTGTATTATTCCTTTATCAAAGGTTTTCTTTCAAATGATGGAAAAATTGGTTCTTTTAATTCCTTTTACCTACCCACAGTTCTATGCAGTCGTTACTTCATTGTATCATCAGTAACATACCCATAATAGTGGGTAGTAGTACCTAAGTGCTACTAAGTACTCTTGTAGAACCTAAGACATAGAATTGAGTTCTACTGCCTTCCAGTTTTGCTTGTTTTGTTTTGGTATGTTTTTCATAAAAAAGACTAAGTTCACCTGATGACTGCTCTGAGTAATCATTTTCTGATGGAGAGCATATTTTACAGTAAGGTTTAGAAGCCTCTGTAGGCATTCACAGAAATCATAATCTCTGCAAACACAAACTCAGGGATGATTACTCAGATCTTTTTGTGGTAACTGTCATGTTCATAAATTTGTAATTAAATACTGATGATGAGAAGGAACATCACTTCTGTTTCAAAATGTTACCAGGCTATAGTGTGTTTTGTCAGTCTTGCATGCAAATCATAGAATCATAGAATAATTTGGGTTGGAAAGGACCTTTAAAAGGTCATCTAGTCCAGCCCCCCTGCAGTGAGCAGGAACATCTTCAAGTAGATGAGGTTGCTCAGAGCCCCTTCCAATCTGAACTTGAATGTTGCCAGAGATGGGGCATCTACGATCCCTCTGGCAACATGTTCCAGTGTTTTACCACCCTCATTGTGAAAAATTTCTTCCTTATATCCAGTCTAGATCTACCCTCTTTTAGTTCAAAAACATCAACCCTTGTCCTGTCACAACAGGCCCTGCTAATAAGATTGTGCCCATCTTTCTTAGAAGCTCCCTTCAAATGCTGCGAGACTGCAATAATGCCTCCCTGGAGCCTTCTTTTCTTCAGACTGAGCAACCCCAACTCTCTCAGCCTTTCCTCACAGAAGAGGTGGTCCAGCTCTCTGATCATCTTTGTGGCTCTGCTCTGGACCCACTCCAATAGGCCCACATCTTCCCTGTGCTGAGGACTCCAGAGCTGGACACAGTATTTCATGTGGGGTCTCACTAGGGCCGAGCAGAGAGGCAGAATCACCTCACTCAAAATATGCAGAAAAACTGGCATTTGTGTTGCATTGTTTTATACGTTGCATTTTGCAAAAGGCGACTGATAAGAAGCATTACTTTGATAACACAGGTAGTAGCAAACCTAGTTAATCTTGGACTTGGACCAGGGAAAAAATTTCTTCATTGTCTGGCTTATTAAAATTGTTCACGATTTTAGTAACTCATCTTAAAAGGTTGTCACCCCTGGTAATTGATGGCAGTTGTAGTACAGATGCAATAATGCTTTTGTATGCCATGGCTGCTCTTCCCTTGCTTCATTTCTTTTTGTTTCCTCTGTTGAACAGAACATGAAGCGGCGCAGGCGTCGAGATATTTTACGAGTACAACTAGTACGAATATTTGAACTGTTGGCAGATGCTGGTGTCATTAGTCACAGGTAGGGGCACATTGTTTATGCTTCTGAATTAAGTCACTAGTGTTCTTGTCACCCAGTATAACAAGCATGCAGAATTCTTCAGTGAGTTTTGGTATACAACTGGATAAATAGATGTGGTTTTATAAAACCTGTCTGGCTTTCTAATCCCTTGTCAAGGTTTAGGGTCAGAGCCATCCACTTACCTATAACAGACATTCTCTGTTAACCTCTCTTCCTTCCCAAAGGGGAAGAGAAAGGGAACAAGGAAGAGAGACTTATTGATTGGAAAAGAAAACTAAAACAGCTTTAATGAAAATAACAAAATGGATTATATACAAACGTATACAAACCAATTATGACACAACCACCCCTGACGGCAGTTATGCCACTGTCACCACTGATGCTGTGGAGCAGGCACTGAACAGTCCCAGGTTGAACTCGGCTGCAGATGGGAACCAGATTCAGGAGCTGGATTCTGGAACAGGATTCAGGAGCACACGGATTGGGATCAAAGGCAGAATGGACAAAGTTTTCCTCGGATGCCTGTCCTCTCTGATTCTCCCCCAAAGTGCAGCCACTTACTTTCTGCACCACCCCTCAGTGTGGGACACAAGATTGAGCAGTGACCTTGGTCTGCATACCAGTCCTTTAGTAACATCCAGTGCATCGCTGCTAGAAGCAGACACCCTCTGCAAAAATACACTGTGAATTTCAGAAAGTGCAGTTTGCTAGAAGAGACTTAGCTGAAAAGTAAAATCACTGAACAGAAATGTCCTGGTTTGAGTTAGAACACAACTATCCCTCCTTCCCCTATGCCCTTTGTCACTGGGATCTGTATTTTATTTAAAATGTTAGTATTCCCCAGGACATTGGTTTGAACAGTATGTCATGTTCCTTCTTTTTTGTGTGTGCTCAAACTTTGCACCAGTTACTCAAATCAGGAAACAGAAGTCACAACTATGCTATAATCAGTCTGGAATTCTTCCTCACCTGGAGTCCTGATGATAGTCAGCATGTCCTATGCAGAGAAGGCTGCTGCTCATTAATGTTGTACCTTTTTCTTTCTGAGGGAGATAGAACATTTAACTGAGTTGTTTTCTTTTGTTTTTTACGTAGTTTACCCACTTACGTAGGGATACTTTGAAAGAGAACTTAAAATTCTGGGATATATTTTACAAATATCTTAGAATATTTTTTCTATGAAGGTGGAATTGTGTAAGAGCAAGCAGGCTGAGAGATGGTTAGGTTGGTTCCTCCCATTCTCTTAGACAATGATGCTTAAACGTTTATTTGTCAACCTTAGTATAATCAGTGTGAAATTCTCAATCTTTAAGCAAGCTACTACAGTATATTTCAAAACGTTGCCTCAGAAGCGTTGCTACAATGCTTACTTCCTTTTGGCATGCAGATTTTTCAAAGTAGACATTAAAATCATACTCTCCCTTCCTACTGTGTTGAGATACTCACTGATACTTAATGAGCACACATAAAATACCTCCTCATCACAATATGGACCCTGGAACTTTGTCAGCTTTTCTCTCTGAGGCCAGTCTGACTCTGGTGGAAGTTGACAAGCAGTTAAGGGCTACCATAAACCTTATCTTGTCCCTTTGGTGTGCAAGGTCTGTTTTTTAGTTGTGCTCAGTAAAATGTGGAAAGATGGTGGAGGGAGCTGGGAGAGAAGGATTCGCCCTTCTAATAATTGTTTTTCAAAGGAGAGCAGGTTTGAATAACATGCAGTTTTTAATCTCCTTATTTACTTTAGTGCAGACATCTAGCCAGATGCTAAAGCCATGAACACAGAAAATGAATATATAAAATTAATAAATTGCTGCCATCTGCTAATAGTCAATATTATGTCATGAAGTACCAAACATCCCAGAAACCTATATGGAATATAGATGTCTGTAGTCAAGAAGTAATAATTATTTTTCCTGGTTTACAAATTGTGTGGGTTGGAGGAGTGCAAGGGGATGGGTGGGGGGGTTTATTGTTGCTGGGGACAAATGTTAAAATTATGAGAATTAATTCTGTGGAAGGATGAATGACAGTGAGGCTTGATGATTAGTTTGCTTTCATTGGAGCTTTTTATGTATTGCTGAAATAGAAGCTGGGTGAAGAAATTACTTTGAATTAAATATTTGCAGTGATGAGGTTGTAAATTTTTTAAAGAGGGAAATAAAGGATTGTTTTCAAAAATCGTTGTATGTATTTGTTGTAATATTGGATTTTTTTTTTAAATTTTAAGTGCAAGTGGTGGCCTTGATAATGAAACACATTCCCTCAACAACACTTTGCTTGAGTATGTTGATCTAACAAGACAACTCCTAGAAGCAGAAAATGAAAAGGATTCTGATACATTGAAAGATATCCGATGCCATTTTAGTGCCTTAGTGGCAAATATAATTCAAAACGTTCCAGGTATGTAGAAATGCTTTCATAACTTCTGATAAGTGCATTTAATGTGCAGAACATTTGAGAAACCAAACAAACAAAAACTATAAAATGCCCACTTTTTCTCTGAAGTTTGAGTACTTTACTAAAAATTATTTATGCCATCACTTTTGAATGGAAGTTTAGCAGCATGAGTTTTTCAGAAGGGTTTTTGTTACTGTCTGGAAGCGTACAAGTAATTTTCTTATTTAGTAAAAGCCTTGTTGGTTGGCAGTACATTTAAATTCTCTATACCAATAAATAGCTTATTCTTGTGCAGTAGTGGTATTAAATGGGACAGTAGTAAACTTGCATCCAGCCATTATGAGGTTGAAATAAAGTGTCTTTACATCGATTTTTCCTTTTATATGAGTTGTTTGAGTATGTTTCTGTCTATCATACTTCACTTTAAAGAATGAGAGGAGTATGTCTAACTGTGTGCTTTTCTTACAGTACACCAGAGAAGAAGTGTCTTTCCACAGCAGAGTCTACGCCACAGTCTATTTATGTTGTTCAGTCATTGGGCAGGTCCTTTTAGTATCATGTTTACTCCCCTGGACAGATACAGTGATAGGAACATGCGAATAAACAGACACCAATACTGTGCATTAAAGGTATTTTAGCACTTCTTGAACTTTGGAAATAGATTACGTTGAATTTTCTAGTGCAAATTTAACATCTGGGCTTTTTGGATGTGATTTTCACATTCTTATTATCATTCATTGCTTAGGTCTTTTTCTCTTCTGCTTACATGTGTATTTATGACATTTTGGCTTTTTTCATACTCTTAACTTTTGCACTTTCTATAGGAATTTCTTAAAATTACTACTGAATGTTCAGTTCCTGTGACTTTAGTCCTCAGTTGCCTAAGGAGAAAGACTTTCATGTAAAAGTATATTAACAGTAAAATGGACATATTAAATCTTACAGTTGAGAAAAATATGGTTTGGTGATTTCTTGAATAAGATGTCAAACAGGTTTTTATTAGCTTTGGTCTTCCTCACTTGATTGAATAGAAGTTGATTTTATGATATATTGATGGACTTAATAAAAGCACTTCCTGTATCTGAGTTATTAAAATGTAGTGTTTTTCAATTGCTTTCTAAAGGCTATGTCTGCTGTACTGTGTTGTGGCCCTGTTGCAGATAACGTTGGGCTCTCATCCGATGGCTATTTGTACAAATGGCTGGATAATATTTTGGATTCACAAGATAAAAAGGTAATCCAGGCAATGTCAACATTGGTTTGCAACTAGCAACCTACGCTTTAATGAGTTTGCAGTCAGATTGGCCTAAATGCTTTAGAGTGGCTTAAGCTCAAAGCTATTCTAGTAGTGCATATTTTTGCACTGTCCTTCATACGTGCATTTATCCTGTTGAGGAAGGCAGTCCCTAATCACAGTCTGAGAACAGCTAAAGCAGAATGGGAAAGGAAAGGGTTAGGAGTAAAACGTTGTGTAGGACTTAGGAACTAAACAGCTAGGTTAACTGTAATATTAAGCAAGTCTTTTGGAAATTTAAAGGAGGTGAGATTTTGAACATGAACTCTTGTGAGACTGTAGAGTCCAATGGGAGTCCTGCAGAATTAGGAAAACCAAGTTTTACATACAAACAGTAAGGCAAGCTTTAGATTTAAAAGACAGGGCCTCCAATGCACTGATACTATGACTGCATAAAAACAGAGCTCCAGTGGGCTACGGTGATTCAAGAGGAATGTGCAAGTCTCCACATAGATCTGTTCCTTGTATCCCATTGGAGTTCCTGCACATATTTAAGTGCTATTATGTATCTGATACTTTCAGATCAGTGTTCAGCTTGTAGTAACATAAGTGAAAATAGTAAATAGCTCAAGTTTGCCTTGGAACCAAGGAAAAAAAGAAGTTGATAGAGCAATCTAGTTATTTGCTTCAATAATTTATGACTGTGTTTGCAAGTTGAACATTAAACATTTGCATAGAATTACCTGTTGTTATGTTAAGCTATGGTCTCGCTGGTTTAGATGGAATAAATTTTGTGTATTTCAGCTGGGGTTTTCTGTGGTGGTGTTTTGCTTTTTTTAAAAAAATGAAACATCCATTTCGCTATTTCATGCAATCTCAGTAAGTCAGTCTTTTTTCTATATCTATCAATATATATTCATTCTTTTCTGGAATACAGGTTCACCAGCTGGGCTGTGAAGCAGTCATGCTGCTCTTGGAACTCAACCCTGACCAGAGTAACCTCATGTACTGGGCCGTAGACCGGTGTTACACAGGTTCCAAGCGGGTAGCAGCTGGCTGTTTTAAAGCCATAGCCAACGTGTTCCAAAACAGGTACTACAGCATTTTTCTAAACTTTAAACTTCCATTTTCAAAGTGGGTTTTCATGTAAACTTGTTTTTTTTTCTTCCCCAAAAGAGAAAATATCACCCTTGTTTGTGTGCGTGTGTTACTACAGAAACTTTTCAAAATGTAGTGTTGTCTCATACCATATCCCTGTAAATTAAACTTCATTAAGTTCAAATTTTAAAAAGCCAAATGTAATTTTACATATTTCACACTTGCATTTCTTCCTTAGGGATTACCAGTGTGATACAGTGACCCTCCTGAATCTGATACTATTTAAAGCAGCTGATTCTACTAGGGCTATCTATGAAGTTGCTATGCAACTATTACAGGTTTGTAAGCTAATTTTTATTAAATTTCTTTTATGTGTATGTGGAAGTTTATCTGTTTTCATGAACTAAGCATTCAAGGCTTTTATTTTCATAATACCTTCTTTTTCAAGGATTCTTTTGGTGAATGGTATCTAGCTCCATTTGTCCAAAAGCACCTCACAGAGAAGCATATTGCTTCCTGTCCCTTTACTCTGTCTGCTGGGGTAGCAGTCAGTTTTCTGGTTTTTGCATTAATACCAAACATTTTTTCATCTATCTTTGTGGAAAGATGATAGGGAAAATCTTGTTAGCCATTTAATTTACTTTTGTATATTCCTTTCCAAGATCATTTGGGAGTAAGCTTAATCTTACAGAGAGCATTAGTATTTTAAAATAAATAATCCTGTGTGTCTCAGGCCACAGGTCTTGGAGTTTTTTTCAAAGGTTTTTGGTGTTGGCTAAATTTAACAGTAAGGTCCCCACTGAAGTTACACTCCTGTTGATATGTTAGCACTCAAGCCACCCTCCCTTTCATCCCTGTTTTCTCAGGTGAACACCACTGCTTAAGATCAGCCAAAGCTGACTTTTAAAGTGTCAAACTGCTTTAGCCTCTTAATGCTTTTCTGCCACATCAAATATTACGTTGTTCCTATCAGTGTCTCATAGATGAGCAGAAATTCATATTATTATTCGTATTGAACAAGCGTTCAATAGTATTTTACATTTTGTTGTGGAAAAATGTATTTTTATTATGGTGTTTTGTGAAAGCAGATTTCCAAAATTTGTTGCTGGAAGCTCATCAAGTGCAGTGAGTCGTAGCCAGTCTTCTAGGAAATTACCACAACGTTGGTGAATATTGTAGATGTATGGAAATATGCCTAGATAGGAAACATTAAATGAGAGAAGATACATGAATTTAAGAGGTTGTTTTATATAAAGATTTCCATTGCAGCTCTATACTTAGCTTCAAATTCTGAACATTACTGTTGTAGATCTTGGAACCAAAGATGTTCCGTTATGCTCACAAACTGGAAGTTCAGCGGACGGATGGGGTTTTGGGTCAGCCTTCTTCTTTACCACATCTGTATTCCATGTCCTATTATCAACTGTCAGAAGAATTAGCAAGGACTTACCCTGAACTAACACTTGCTATCTTCTCAGGTATGGTTTTAAAATTAAGGTAAAGTTTAAAAACTTCTTCAGGTCAAAAGCATTGTACAAAATGCGTACTTCTTATTTTTCGGTAATTAATTTATAAGTAATTCACTAAAACCAGGACAACAAGATAACACCATTGTAGTGAATAAGGAAAAGTGGACTTAGTGAGTGACAAATTTTGTTAACTTGTATTTGAAATGTATTCAAGAGGAAATGACATGAATCAAAGATACTTTTACTGACTTTCTGGTAGTCATGAAAAATCATGTTAGAGAAATAATTTGCAACTGTTTAAAAAATATATTGTTATATTGTGCTTTCTAGTGTTTTCTTATTTACTCTAGATTGCTTAAAATATAGCTGTTTTAAACAACTGCAGATTAAGAATCTCTCACACCAATTTAAAACTCTACTAGGACTAATACAAAGAAGAAAAAGCATTGAGTGCTCTTTTGCAAATTGGTACATTTTTGTGCTCTAGGTTTTCAGTTCCAACCAGTTAGAGGAATATATATATGCTTATACTAATATGGGTGCATCAACATACTGTTTGTCAGCAGTGTCTTCGGTGAGGTGTACTGAAGAATGTGGACTTTATCACTATGAAATGGAGCTAGTCAGCTAAAGCAAAAAAAATAATCTGTATCAGCATTGCTTTATGTCAATATGGTTTATTGGGCTCTTGGTTGTTGTTTTTTTTACCAAAACAATTCTCATTATTGACTCATTTTTATACCTAATTTTGGAATGGCAGAAGTCAGTCAGAGAATTCAAACAGCTCACCCAGCTGGGCGACAGGTGATGCTGCATTATCTGCTACCATGGATGAACAATATTGAGCTGGTAGACTTGAAACCTTTGCCAACCATTCGTCGGCAAGATGAAGAAGATTCTTTGAAAGACAGAGAAATCATGGTGAACAGTAGACGATGGCTACGAGGAGAAGGGTGGGGATCACCACAGGCTACAGCTATGGTTCTGAACAATCTGATGTACATGACTGCAAAGGTAAAAATCACTATTTAAGTGCTCTGTCTTGTTCCAGTGGATTGATGTGTTTAGGATGTGAGAAAATACTGTTTGGATATACTGTGTTACCAAACTTTCAAGATTTTTTGTTCATATTTGTTGAGTTGCTGATGTATATCCAAACTATAACATACATTTTGAGGTATTATGAAAAATACATAATATGCAATATAAATATTACAGTAATTGTTACATATAGTGTCAGTATATAGCTGCTGTTTTGTAATATAGATGTCTAGCTGAATAGATAATACCAAGTTACCTGTATACCTGTGGTCTCAAAGCATAGTTTAGGAGCCGATCTTGTTGCCAGAGGCTGATAGACCTTCCTCCTTCCTGTGGTAGCTACTTCAACATAGAAAAAGTAACGGTCACGTGCAGTGCTCCTGCCAGTTCGTGGTATCTTTGAATCCTGCTGATGAGAGAGCATGTTTTAAGCTACAAGTTAAAAACTTGTGGCAGCCTGTGGTCCATGGAATTTTATTAAGGATTGTCAGCAACTGGGAGAATGGATTGCTGCCAAATTTACATTATTTTTTTCTGTTAAAAAGTTGAAATAAATTAATATATCAATAAATATTTGTGTGCTTATCTAATGTCTAAAAGTACATATTATATATAAATAAAATACAGAATATGTGTTGGGTTTTTTTACAAAATATTTATAGCTAGAAAAGAAAATAGTTATTTCCAGAATGTGGAATGTTAACAAGGCAACAGCTTCTTGCAGGATTTATGTCTCCTTTTCCTAGAGCCTGTCCCACTTGGTCAATAAAAATCACTTTCAAATGCAATGTTTACTACTGGATTTTTCAGGAGATACTTATTTTGTTTTCTAGTATGGTGATGAAGTGGCATGGTCAGAGATAGAAAATGTCTGGACTACTTTGGCAGACAGCTGGCCAAAGAATTTGAAAATAATTTTGCACTTCTTGATCGGTATCTGTGGAGTGAACAGTGAACCCAGCCTTTTGCCTTACGTGAGTATGCTATGTCTATCTTTAGTGCTGTTGATATTTTTAAAAATTAGTTGTGTGTCTAGCAGCAAAGATGACCAAATGCAAAGTGTGAGGTAGGATTTCTAGTATCAAAATCTTCTCAGTTACGAGTCGTCAAAATTCAGAGTATACTAAGTGGACCATAGACCTTATTTAATGAATAAATAATAAAAAAAGGACAAGGCTACTAAAATGTCAACATGTGTCTTAGCATTTTTTGTTCCTTTGTCATAAAAAGGACACTTAAGAGTCTGAATGCTGAATTTAGTTTAATTTTATTAGGAGAATAAGATGAACAGTTCTTTTCTATGATAAAGCACACAGCAGTTTGTTCATTAGGAAGAATTACGATAGTTCTATAAGTAATATTTTCATAAGAAAACTATTAGGGGTTTTACTGATAGTTCAAAAAAACCAGATGTGAAGTAAACAATGAGGACCTATTTATTAAGTTCTTACTAAGGACAGCTTAAGTTCTTCGTTGATTTGCAATAGTTTTTGTTGCACATGAGGAAACCTAGCTTAATGTTACAGCCCAAAATCTTTGTATGTATAGTTTGAACGATGTAACAAAGTAATTCCACGAGTCGAGTGCCCTGGCTCACTTGTGTACCGTTTGTCTTTGAGTTCTGTCATAAGGATGGAAATAAATAATTGAGCAGTATTGACTCAAGAAAATGTCGGAAGAAAAAACATGAACCTATTGATGTCTAGAGTGATCACTGACTAGCAGCCATCTGCTCCTGCTTAGCCAGGACCAGTGACCAGGATTATTTTGCTGAAATACAAGATGTAGTTGAGAATCCTTAATAACTATATGGATAATAAAATATTGCTATAATTGTTAATTCTTATTGCAGTACAGGAAGGCCTTGAGCATTTTGGGAGTTAAGTGTTTCTTCTCATGCTGTAATTTATGAGTAGTCCTAAAATGGAGACAGGTAATACAGTAAAATAAAGTACCTATCATGCAATTTAGGGACAGTGTGATTATTCTCACACAACATCCTAGGCCTCCTCAGAAACAATTCTATATTTTATCAAAGCATATTTAAGGACACTGCAGGATAGTATGAGGAAAATATGATACCTGCTGGAAAAGAAATAGTGTAGAAGACAATTTCAAAGTATCAAAAAGAAGTTATATTAGAATACACTCACTCCATTGTTGATATCAGATGTTGCTAAAGCCTTTGTAAGAAAATCTTTTGCTTCTTAAAAACTGTCATTGAACTCAAAAGACTTATTTTCTTGCTCTTGTGATATGTTTATAATGCTTGCTGCCATTGGCAGCTGTGAAAGCAATTTTGTTTGCTTTTGAAACCTACAGTAAGTTTCAGGTATCCTCATTTGCAGTGCAGGTAGATAGTAATTCTAACACATTGAAGTATTCAGATCTCCTATTTTCCTTTTTTTAATCACGTCACTGCAATAAGAATTTTATTTATGTACACACTATTTTATATACATATACTCTTTTTTGCTGGCAGGTAAAGAAAGTTATTGTTTATCTGGGTAGAGATAAAACAATGCAACTACTAGAAGAGCTGGTGAGTGAACTTCAGCTTACAGATCCTGTAAGTTCAGGAGTCACACACATGGATAATCCACCATATTACCGCATTACTTCCAGTTACAAAATCCCCTCTGTCACTTCAGGTGAGAATCTACTAACTTAAACTTTTATTACTGTCAATGATAAACATGCTATTACAAATCAGTTATTATACTGTTGCTCACCTGTAAATATTCAACCAGGAGTACAGTTTCTAAAAATAAATTAAGGTACAGAGTTTCCTTTACAAGAACTACAGTTTTTGGTGTAGCCAGCGTTCTTATTGAAGAACATGTGGTAGATTCACAAAGAACAGTTTTATATTAATATACATGTTTGAGTTTGGGTTCAGATCTTGCACTGTTCATCCTCGTTATGTCACTTTAATATAAATTTAAAGAACTGGGAGAGTTGCTACAATTTTAAATTATGTGAGTTGTTATATTTTAAGTTCTGTAATAGACACAAGCTGCATCTGTAGGAATTTATTTTAAAGTATTTAAATTCACTTAGGAATTATTAGAATTAGATTTTATTTAGAAATAATTAATATAGATGAAGCATGAAATTAGGAATTATTATAAATTAGAATTCATTTAGAAATAATTAACATAGATGAAGCATAAAAAAAAAAAGAAACAGATAACTGAAAATGTAAAAAGTGTCTACCTCATGCTTCAATCTGAGAACGTGATGAAAAATGTGGGAAGAAAAGCTGTCTGGCTTTGGTGAAGCATCTTTCCAAGTGAAGCACGAAAGGCGTGCATATATTTTCCCTTTTTTCTTTTTCCGTTTTCCAATAAATTTTATTAGCTTTTATTTTTATTTGCCAATCTTGTTCGTTCTCCATAATTCACAGGTACCACTTCTAGTAGCAATACGATGGTAGCTCCCACAGATGGCAACCCTGACAGTAAACAAATAAAAGACAATATTGAAGAAAAGTAAGTATCTCCTCAAAGACCAGTTATTGGTTGAATTACAGGAGTTCCTGGTAGGTACTATAAATATTTGCATCTCAGTGGCTCCAGGTATGTCTACGTTGCAGGGACTACATGACTGTAAGTTTGATATGTTTTAAGCAACAAAACTGGAATACTGTTTAGGATTAACAGTAGCAGCATAAATGGTAATTTGAACTCAAAAGCTGTTAGAGAATCCGTAGAAATTAAGGGACCAGTCTGGGTCAGGATTTGCATTACTATAGCTATATTGTTCTTGCTGCCTAAAATAGCTACCCTTACACTGGACTGTATATGTCAACATAAGAGAAATTATACTGCAGGTGTGTATGGGTATATCGGGAGCAAAACTGGCAGATTGTTTTCCTAGCTCACCAGAAATCAACAGTGCCTATGGGTGGAAAGCAAGTTTATTCTCCCAGTGAGGATATTTGGATGTCTGGTATCTCTGGCAAAATCCCTTCCAGGTAGCTGTAAAACAAATGCTTCCCTCTTTAGTTTTTGAGCTTCTTAAGAAGACAGTAGTACCTGTGTGAAGGTGGTGGACAGCAAACAGCTGATGTAGACTTAGAGCATGGCCTCAGAGCTCAACAGTAACTGAATGTGGGCGTGCTCTCATTTTGTGTTACATGAGAGCAATATGAGATAGCTAACCTTAAAGCAAAAAGGGAGTGGGGATACTATAATCACCATGAGAAAAAGTGTGCACACATGCTGTTACTGTAGAATGGCTGTTAGAAGGTAAATTCACAAACCAGCTTATTTTGTGACAGCCTGTTTGAGAGCCTTATTAATGATATTTCCAATATAATTTCCTAATTTTTGCATATGCTGTAAGATTGTCTAACAACTGCTCAGGGTATATGCTTTTTGAAAACAGACTGTGTACAACTTGCATTTGCCAGGAGGAGAGAATTTTAGGAACTTATGTAGAAAGGGCTTGGAAATTTTGCTTTTAGCGCTCTCATTTCTCCAATTTCTTTATAGTTTATCAGATTAGTGAGGTAGGATCTTGGACTTTCTGTGTGTAGATGTATGTATGTCTGTGCCAGATAAAGTAGGGTTTCATCATTTTGCTCAAGAGTAAGAAGAACATATGTATAATGATAACAAATATTTTAATCTGCTCAAATGTTAATGAAAATGATCTAGCAGAAATGTAATTTATAGTGGATTATCTCATTGAATTTCCCTTATCTAGCATTGCTACAGGAGGTGTGTTATACAGCTGAGATGCTTTGGTGTCATACTGATTGTCCTTGTAAGATGAAATATGTTCACATAACACTTAGTTTTTCTGAAATAGTTTTACCAAGACCTTGATTATTTTTTTTGTCGCAGAGTGTCAGTTTCTAGTATTGTTTTATTTTTTCATACAGTTATGTACATCTAGACATCTACAGTGGGTTGAACAGTAACTTAAACCGCCAGCACCACCGACTAGAATCTCGCTACAGCAGCAGCTCTGGAGGATCATATGAAGAGGAAAAAAGTAATATTTTTATTTACAAATGTGTCTATGCATAGAAAACAAAATTTTCACAAGTTAGTACTTCGGATGAAGGTTGTGGAATGTGAGGAAATAGGCATTATCAGTGGCGTTTGTGTGAACCTATTAAAAAAAATTGGTTTTTTACATTCCTAGCTCTTAGTACTGATATTGAGTGGATATTGAAGCATAGATTTGATTACAATAGAACATATGAGGAAGATAATACACTTATTTTCTTTCCCTTGTCATCTGGAATGAGTTGTGAACATTTTCTCAGATGAAGCAGTTTTGCTCTATTTTCTTTGCTAGTACCAACACTGAAGATGGATAGGTGGTTAAGCGGGAGAAACAGGAGACGGATTAGCAGGAGGAAGATGAGATGAATGAGGACAAGATGATGAAACAAAGTTGCAAACCCAGAAAACTAGTAGTAATTGCACTTTTAAATGATTGCAGTCTGTGGGCTGTTTAAAAAAAAAAAAAAGGTTATAAAACTTTCTGAGAAGCCATAGCAAGGAGAGCTAGAGTGGGGGAAAAGGATCTTTTTGTGTATGTATAATTTTCAAGTTTGTTTTGAAAATATGTTTTGGGCTATTTCTTGTGATCTGGCGTGTTTTTTCAGAGGTGCAGAGGTAAGGAAAGAGAAATTTGTTATGAAACTCTGTATACTTTTGGAGACTTCTGAGTAACAGACGCTTATTAACTGTGACTACTTTTGTAGCAATGCCTAAGATACAAAATCATGACAATGGCAGGGAAAGTTGAACAGGTCATGTAATGAGGCAAAAATGAGGACGATGATCAGATGGTAAATTAGGCATTACATTAGTGGGTTCTGCAGGATTTGTCAGAGTACTTGTTTGACTGAAACTCTCATTTCAATTAACAAGCTGTTAGTAATTAAAATAACTTTGTACTTGCATGGGATTATCAGATAGATTTCAGCCTGATCCAGACCATTATAGTGCTCCTACAGACTCTCTTCCCCAGTTTCACTCAATGCTTTATTGACAATTGATTTTGCTACCAACTGAGTTGTTTGGGTGTGGTCCAGCACATGATAGAGTACTGCCTTTCTCTTCCCTTTCTTGTGCTACTTAACAACAGGTTGTAAATTTCTGCCTTTTGAGCACTGCATATCAGTATGAAACCTAGTGTATCCTATGCTGTACTGAAGCAACAGAGTCCATTAGGATCTCCTTATGCACTCCTTAGTGACTGATTCTGTGCAGACTGTCAAGGTTAGAGTGCATATGTGGTTTGTATTGCCTCTTTCAAGAAAGTGGGACATAGTGTCCTCTACAGAGCTTCTTGTAAAGGCTGAGCATACTGGTGCAGACCTGCTAAACTTTGAGTTGTTATCAAGGTTGATGGGCTTTCTGAGACAGTGTTTATTACTGTTTGGATGGGTGGTGTCCATTATTGTATTTGTGGTCATTTTCATCTTTCTTTGATATTTGTGGTAGCAACAGTGAGTATTCTGAAGCAGATGATAATTGACATGTTCCATCAGTAAGAATCATAGAATCATAGAATCA